CACGGCACTATCACCATCAGTGCAAGATAATCGAAGAGCCCTCTGAAATCCGCAGCAAAGACTTTTGGCATTGATTCGGCTACTGTCTGGTCATCTGGCTTCCCCTCTCAAGCCAAGGGCTGACCCAACTGGATCCCCAGGAGCCCTTCGGGAACCCCAGCAGGCCCATGTGAGCGCTCCGTATCTTACCGCTACTCCCCGAATGAGTGTTCGGTGCCTAGAAGCCTTTAACCAACCTTGAGACAGCGTTTGGCCCAAGAAAGGAGCGCGCGAAACCACCCGCTCCCAGAGTCCCCACCCTAACACGCCCCCAGCGCTGAGAAACCTGAAGAGGCCCCGCGACATTCCCAGGGAGCTCCCAAACGCCCTCAGCAACCATCAGGCTGACCCTAGAAGAATCCAAGATACCCCCAAACAGTACCAGGAGACATCAGCCCTAGCTTCAGGAGCACCCCCAGAGAACTCAGGGGACATGCCAGAGAACACCCGAAATCACGACCCTTCCGCGCTGGCACGGTAGCGGACTCGGCCGAAGGCAATGATATAATTTTTCGCACGGTCCCAAGTCAGGCTCAGTTCGAGAAAGTGCCTCCACATAAGCTTCTGCCGACGTCGACGCCAAGGCCTGCACTGGGGTGAAAACATCGAAACTCACCAACACATACTCACCAGAATGCATGCGGAATAACGCTGAGACTCGCCACTCGGATTGAAGCAATTTCGCAGGCACCGCATCGTACGACTCCATCTTCAAGAAATCTGCCAAGAACTTGGGGATGTCGGTGGAAGTCGCAGCAGCATCTACAAGTGCCCCAGACTTTGATGACGTGTTCGAATCCTTCACATTGATTCTCATCGGGGTCTCGTCGTAACGAACCTGCTTCACAAGAATAACGGGCTGACCTCCATCTCGAGTCACAGTTCTTATCATATGTTCGAGAAGGGATTTGTGCATATATGCCTGCAAAGCGAGACCAGCGGCTGCCAGTTGGATACGTCGAACAGACGGCAGCTGCTTGTACACGCCCATCCTACTCGCGAGCGCAACTGAGCTCATGAGAAACTGTTCACCATATAATATGTCATTGCCATGATCAACAATGTCACTGACAAGCTTCTTAGGATTACGAATCGCAGCCAAACCAACACTGATCTGATGAGTCAAATTGCAAATTGGTCCTGCAATGGCGACTGCAACATCATCGTGAGCAACGCTAGAACTACCAACACCATCGTGAGCAACAATACCGTGAGCAACACTATCGGCACCTGCACGGACGTCGCCATCGCGATCCAGATCTGCGTCTTCTGGTTCTGGCGTCGGGAGCCCAAACAGGCCGCCACCATAATCGATTAGGCCATGAGGATCGAGGCCGTCACCATCAACATCGCCGAGAGAAGCCGTGACCTCGTCGGGATCGGGGCCGTCACCATCAGCATCGCCGAGAGACGCGTGACTAGACCAAGACCGTCGAGCTTTGGCCAGCTCCGAGGAAGCCCACGTAGTCCTGCGATGTTGCCAGGATGAAACGGCCGTGCCCCAAGATCGCCTCCGAGCGCCACTCTCGCAGTGAGCGCCATCCGGCTTGTGGCCCCAAGACTTTCTCATCAAGGAGGTTGCACAGCACGGGGAATAGAATGTCTCACATGGAAGACGGAGCGCGGCACTGAGCGGAATCAGCGTCGCAAAGTGGAGAAACACATTGAACATGATCATCCACTGGTGTACATGGAAAGCGCCGCAGCGCGAAGATATGGAAATCGCTGGAATCGGGATCACCGAAACATCATTGGAGTCGCAACTCGAAGGCCGCTTTGAGCCACAATGCCAAAACGATCACAAACAAATTGCCACTCGAACACGGGGCGTCATGATATTAAGCGTTATTCCCCTCACCAGGTTCTTACAACATATCCTTGAAACACATCAACGTGAACAAATCGACATCTGAACGGTGCCTAAGCTGCATTCGAAGGACAAGTGATTTCAGGACACAGGAGCAGAGACGACTGCGAAGCGAACAATAACACAATGACTCCGTGACAATTTAACACTACTTGGCGAACGAACCTTGGCGAGGCGCCCCCAGTCGCCCTTGCGCCCGTGGCAGCCCTGACAGCGCGGTTCCCTCTCTGAGGGCCGACGCTTTAGCAGGACCGCCACGGACACAATTGGACCAGGAACGCCAAACACCAGGGACGCCCGATTGTTTTCTAGCGGAGGGGGGGCGGGAACGTTTGGCGTTGCTCTTGGGGAACCTAGACGCGCCAAGACGACCGCAGCCCCAGCCTTTGTTTTTGTACACATGGAAAACATTTGACAGGCCCTGCCCCGTGCTAGTGGACCTAGATCACAGTGGTTATGCTACGTTAGCTTCCCCCTCCCCTCCCTCCCCCCCCCTCTCCTCCCCCTCCTCCTCGCCAAAAGAAAAAAAAGACAAAACACAAAAAGAGTACTTCCCTGGGCAAACCAGAATCCGCGTCCTTGCCGTTGTGGCCGCGCATTTTGTTACGTGTTGAGGAGACAGGCGCGCCGCATAATGGTCACGGCCCATCCTCTTCCACCCCGCGCCCACCGCGACCACAATAAACTGACCCTGCCGCGCGCCCGCCCAGCCCGACCACCTTGTCCTTCCCGCAGACTTCCCACCGACAGACATACGCCCCCTGACGCTTACACGCACGCGCGACCCCACGCGCGCACGCACGCGCAAACGCGCGCATGCACGCAACCGCCATGCATAACAACGCCTATACCACACACCACAACCACGCGAGCACCCCCACGGCCGCCACAACGATCCCCCCGCCACCCAAAGACGCGCGCCACCCCGCACAACCAACGCGCACTACTCGCGCCCCATCCACCCCGCCCCCCCGACACACACCCCACTGCAAAGGATGCTTTCCTCTACTCAGAAACCCCACCCACCCTGATCAAACGACGCCCAACTTGCTGTGCCGCGGCGCGCGCCCATTACGCGGAGCGTCGGCCCCGCGCAACGCGAACCCGCTAGTCATTTATAATGACAAGCTAACGTTACGTAGCGTCTAAATATCCGATGTTGGCCGATCTCAAGCGCGACCTCTGGCATCAAACGCGAAACGCTGATGGTTCAATACGCGTCATACACTAATAATGCAACGTTAAGCGCTTCCCTCCATGATGGGCGCTGCGACCTCGCGTCGAAATCGCCCAGCCCCTGTTCAACCCGTCCAAGCATTTCGTTCATTTGTGTAAAACGAACCTACGAAACGCCAACGCGCTTCCGCGGGTGACCATCATCGGCGAACGATGTTTTAGCGGATCATCCCAAAGGAGGTCTTACCTCCTCGCATTCATGCGGCGGTCTTGCGGACAGAGCAATCTCGGCTCTCGCAATTTCAGAAATGGCGTCGACAATTTTTGTACAATTCCATGTTTCAGCGTTTTCATAATTTTTTCATAATTATTTCATAATTTTTTCATAATTCGACGATTTCCATACGAACCCCTCCTCTCTGAGGCGCTCGCCCTCACAATGCTTCCCAGGTGGTCCAGCAGTACTCGCAGTAGCCCGCCTTGACCGGACCGCCCACAACGCCGCACTCCACGCACTGCACAGGCAGGAGACCTTGCTCGGGCGCCCACCCTGCTCCGGAGGTTGGGAGCCCCACGGCCTCTTGCGTCCCAGGACCGGTCTGTGCCGCTAGAGCGCCGCGCGCGGACTGAGGCCCTCCGCCGCCGGTGGTGGCCTGCCCTTTGGCCTCCTGCTCCGGGGCCGCAGCCCCCTCGGGCAGAACAGCCGACTCCGGGGCCTCCGCGTGCTGCTGGGGCGCCTGCTCCTGGCCCAGGTCAGAGGGGCTCCCTGGGGGCGTTGCTGGCTCCGCTTCCCAGGCGCCCCAACACCCGCCGCAGAAGAACTTGTGCTGGAAGGGGCCCTGCCCCTCTTTGAGCTGGAAGGGAGACAGGGGGGCCCTGCCGCACCAGGCGCAGCACGACGGGAAAGAGCTCGAGTCCTGGCTCTGGCCGGCCCCAGGGCAAGCGCCCGCCTGGTCCCGGGCCTCCGGCGCTGGAGCGGCGCTCCGGGACTCCGCACCTCCCTGGCCTTCCGGGGGCGAGCCGCCCTGGCTGACCGTGAACGCGAGGGCGGGCTGCGACGGGGGGGGGCCCCCAGCGGCCGCCGCGGCTCGCCAGGACTCCTGCTGCTCGGGGTTCATGAGTTCCCACTGGCGCTTTACGGCCCGCCCGTACAAGGTCTTCGAGCAGCGCGCGCCTGGGTGTTTGGACTCACTGGTCGCCGCTGCCCGGAGGGTTGCCTTCAGGGACGGCTTGTGGTCCATCCAGTACTTGAGAACATCTTCCTGCTTCAGCTGCTCCCCGGCCATGGCGATCTAATCCGAGGCGGACCACGCTGGCTTCTGGGCGTCCGGAGGGGATGCGGGAGACTGTAGGGAGAGCGGCTGCGGAGAGGGAGGGGGGGGAGCAGCGCACCGGCATCAGCAGGGGAGGAGGGGAGGGAGAATGGAGGGGACTGAGCCAGCGCGCCGTCGAGATTGCCCCTTCACCCCTCCCGCGGCTCAGCGCGACCCATGGGACGGGGGCCTGTGGCCCGTTGAGAGCAGAGGGATGGGGGCAAGGGACGATGCGCTGAGTCGACCCTGGGCCCTGACGTCCTCGCCCTGGCCCGACCTCTCGAGGCCGCCCGATCCACCTCGAGGCACGCTTCTTCGAATAGCAAATCCTGCCGAGGGAGCATCGGCCCCAGCTTCTGACACCAAAGGAGCCCAAGCACTCAACCTCGACCGCCCTCCAGCAACACGCCTCGGCTCGGACCTGCCTCCAAAGGAGCGGCGGAAGTGGAACAGGGGGCGGAGAGGGGGGGGGAGGGAGAGAGGGAGGGAGGGAGGAGAGGGAGGGAGGGAGGGAGGAGAGGGAGGGAGAGGGAGGGAGGCAGGGAGGGAGGGAGGGAGGGAGGACCAGGAGGAGGGAGGGAGGAGGAGGAGGAGGAGGATCCGAGGTCACGTCTGTCCCGCCCGATCCCGCGGACGTCATATGGTCCGACTTGCAGGCCGGCGGCGCCCGCTCGCAGCGGGCGGTGCTGTGCCCCTCGCCCTCGTGTGCCTCCCGGTGCTCTCCGCGCCTTGCCGTCGGGCCTCGTCGTGCTCTTCGCCTCCTGCTGTGGAGGACGATCAGTGGCTAGGATCGGAGGCCTAGGGGTTGACACCAACACCTATATCTCACCACCCACCAGCCCACCCCAACCCAACCCGAAGGCCCCGATTTGCCCTCCATTTCCAGTCGGGGGGGGTCGGGGGGGGTTGACACCAACACCTATATCTCAGCGAGCGAAGAACGGTATCACATAAACTTTTTCGCTGTCGGGGGCGCGTGTCCCTGGGCGGCTGGAAAGTTTATACCCCTACGGTGCCACCGTAAGGGTATAAAGTTTCCAGCCGCCCAGGGACAGGCGCCCCCGACGGCGAAAAAGTTTATGTTCTACCGTTTTTCGCCCGTTAAATATCGGCGTTGTGCCTCCACCGAGGGAAGAATATCCCAATCTCGGTGATGGTGGTAATATTCTGGCTTCCCAGGCGGCCGAAAGATCACCACCAGCACCGAATGCTAGGATCATCCTTCCCTGGTGGAGGCAAACCCCTGTGTTGGTGTTTTGGTGCCCATTTCCAGGCCTCCAACAATGGACTTGGCATCGCTCGGACGTGTTCATGTTTCCTTCGGCGAGGACCATCGAGGAGCATCCTTCGTCGTTTGGCGAAAAAACACGCACGAAACCGCACAAAGAAACACAGGGAATGGACGTCGGAGCGATGGCGAGTGGAGAGGAAGCAGGTTGCCAAATAATTGCCGGATGTCTAAAAAATGTTCGGAGCACGTCCCTACATTGTACACGACCAATGGAGAGGAAGCAGGTTGCCAAATGTTCCAGAGTTCGCCAGGCGGGGTTCCAAAACCCTCCCCCTCGCGTCTCTGGACGCCCGAAATGGGCACGGAAAGAATGGGTACGATGCCCAACAGCAGTTCCTGTTCATTCTGAACAGGATTCGCTGTCCACGCCGCCGCGGCCTGTGTCCATACGAGACAGAAGGCCGCCTGCCCAACAGCGGCCGCTGTTGGTTTGGGACAACATTTGTTGTTGGGCACTGTACCCATTCTTTCGGTACCCATTTCGGGTGTCCAAAGCGTCGAGACAAGACACGACGGACAGGCGGTGGCCACGCTCGGCATCCGGTGGGGGGCCGCTTCCGGGCCCGAGGGCCGTCAGAGAAACGACTCCGGGGCGAGAGCACGGCCCCGTGGAGGCGGTCGAGGCCTCCCGGGGCCCACGCTGTGAGAAAACGTCTCGGCGTCGGTGGTCTTTGGGTGTCCCCTCTGGGGGTCCCCAGGGCTCCGTTTCCTCAAAGGAAGACCAACCTCTATCCTTCCAGATGTCTAAAACCTGTTAAGCACAGGTTCCTACATTTTAAACACCTTGAAAGTTGATTGATAGGACTGTTAGGGTGTCCATCGTCGTGGCATCCGCAAGTCTCGTGCCTCCGCTCGTTCTTCGTGTCGTGCCTCCGCGTGCTTTTCCCTGGTCCGCCTGCCCCACCATCATCGTCGGAGGTTCCTGCCCCTTAGGATGCAACTACTGGAACGCCAAGATCAGCATCGGGTTTGGTCCATCCGTCGTCGAAACGGCCTATCAGCTGGCGTAGTTGCAAGCCGTTCCGCTCAATATCATGTAACCCGGCTTCATCGGGTTGCAAACATGGTTGAGATTGGTGTAATCCGGCTTTTTGGCCCCCTCAATCAGGCCCAGTAGGCCTTCGATAGTTCGTACGACCGTTTCTCAGAGGTTACTTCCTGAGGCCCCGTTGCCAGTCGGGAGTGGATAGACCTCCTACCTTGACACGTCGATTGGCGAATTGGCCGTTTTCGGTTCGCGAGAGGGCGTCGCGGTCGTCATGTTTGCGGGTCCAGGTCCGTCGGTTTCGGTCCGAGGCCGTTTTCATTAAATGGAGGTTTACTAAAGGGAGGTTTGTCCACCGCCGACATCGTGTTCCTTGTCGTCTTGGCTCAGTTGCGCTTGCGCGTGTCTCCGCTACCGCGCCTGGAGACGTAGGCGGACAGGGCATGCGGCGTCGCTGCATGGGTGGAGCGCCGTGTGGTTTCGCCGTGTCTGCTAGAAGACACGCTGCGTGCTGAGCTGGAGTGGGCGCGTGTCCGCGAAGATGGCACCGTGCAGTGCCGCAAGGCTGGTTGCTCTCTCTTCTTCGTCTTATTGTTTGTTCTCTCTCTCTCTCTATCTCTATCGTCCCCTCTTTGTTGTCATCTCTTTTTTTGTTCTCTCTCTCTCTCTCTCTCTCTCTCTCTCCATGAGGCACGTGGGGCCGTAAGGCTGTCAGCTTCGCGCGCCGTATGAGCGTGCTGGCCGAAGAGGCAGGCGGGGAGCAGTGGAAGCAGGCGGAGGTGGAGGAAACGGTGCAGGAGGAGGAGAACGATTCCATCTCCGACCGCTGTGCCATTGAATGACGAACGAGCAACACGCACACCCATACCCACAGGGGGGTCGTTGAGAGGAGGACTGGCTATGGGTATGGGTGCGGGTTGTCGGACCCTGGGGAACGCTCCCGTTCGAGCGGGGACCCCCATCCGACACCACGCACCCATACCCCTCTCCGACCCCCCTATGGGTATGGGTGTGTTTTGTTGGTTCGTCATTGAATGCGAGAGCGGTGAACGTGATGCTGGCGAAAGGGAGTTCCGTTCCGCAGCCGTGCTGCCGCGATGCCATTTGAGGCCTTTCGGGTTGATGTCGAGGGTGTTCCATAGGGGTCTCTTCAGGGCCCCTCGATGGCGTCTGGGGGCCGTTTCGGAGCCCTGGGCCCGTTTGTGGGGGGCGTTTCGGAGCCCTGGGCCCGTTTGGAGTCGTCTGTAGCAGTTTCTGTGGCCTCCTTGCCTGAGGGTCTGTGGGCCGTCTCGCCCGGAGGGGTTGGGGCAGTCCTGGTGCGGTCTCGGGCCATGCTGGGGCCGTAGGGTGCTGCCTTGGCACCGTTGTTGAACCATCGGGGGAGCCTCATGGACCTGGAGGGCGCGACTTGACGCCATCAAGTCTTCCTGGTGTGGAGCACAGCCTAACAGGGCCGCTCAGTGGTCCTCTTTTTGTGCCTCTTTAGGGACTGTCGAAGGCATCATCGGAGCCTTTGAGGGGTCTTCCGGCTGTTTCGAGAGGTCTACGGCTGTGTGGGAGGATCCGGCAGCTTGTTCGAAAGAGGTTTGGGTCCTATTTGGGAGAGTCTTGGGTCTCTCCAAGGGCCATCTTGGGCCAAGCGCCATCTTGGGCCGGTTTGCGGGGGCCTCTTGGGGCTGACTCGGGCCGTCTCCAGGGTTTTTTTTCATGGGGCCTTTAGACTCCTCTCCAATGAAAACATTTTAGGGCCAGAAGCCTGGTGGCCCAACACCTTGAGACGTTCTTTATTCAGGATTTCGTAATAAAGGGAGGGGTCTCATTTCGGGGGGGGGTCTCTTCCAGGCTATCTTGGAGGGCCTGGGGGGTCTGGGGACGATGTTTTGGAGGGTTCTCCCACGGGGGAGGTCTGAAATGGCTTGTCTTGGAGGGTCCAGACCCCCTCCCTTTTTTACGAAATCTGGAGTACCCAAGCAGTCCTGACTGTCCAAGGCCTACCTCCGGACTCTCGGGCTTGCGCTCACGAGGTGTATCGTGGAGCTTGTCGTGCACCGCCCGGGGCCTCTTCAAATCGTGCGGGGCTACAGTCGGGGCCCTGAAGAAGGAACCCTTTTCGTTGGGGAGGGGCTCCGCGTTCCTTAAGTGTTTCACAGCTTGCCTCAGGTTTTCCTTATGTGTCCGATAGGAAATCGAAGTTTACCTTATGGAAAAAAGGGGCCTCGTTCCTTATTTAGGGTTCCTTAGGTCAACGCCCCGACTGTAGGACGGGGATAAACCCGTTCCGGAGCGTTCCAGAACGTTCTTCGAGTGTTCCAGAACGCTCTGAGAAGGCTGCGGCGCCTGAGACGTCCTCCGGAGCCGCCAGATCTCAGAGGTTCTCGATTCATCCTCACCCAATTTATCTATCAACGACCTCTTGCGCTGCCTGGGAGGTCTCCCAGACCGTCGCGGCGGCCTCATTCCTGGGCCCTGTCTTGGTCTCGCCGTCGTGGGGCGTCCCAGGACGGGGGCGGGCGAGCGCGGACCCCTCTCGAACTGAGACTGCTGGGCGTCAGCCGGGTGGTGCTTCTCACAGGGAGGGGAGGGAGTCCCGGCGCCTGGTGATTCCAGAAACGTCGGCGGGCCCGTCTTTTCTTCTGCCCCTCGCACTTTCTCTACGCGAGGGCCCACGTAGTGATTCTTGCTCGCCCACCTCCAGGGGGCTGTGAGAGTGTCCACCGTTCGGTGCGCCCTGGCGCCGTCAAAGGGTTCCGGGCCAAAGCTCCTTCTCAGCGTCCTCCATCTGCTGCTCCTAATCCTTTCGTCCTTACCAGGTTCCTCCTCGTCCTGTTTGTATCCCTCATGCTCCGCGTCTTATTCTGACTCCGCGCCGAACCCTACACAAGTTCCTATGCTTCCTCGCCCTCCTAGTTGCATTCCTACTTCCAGGTTGCCCCTGTGGGCAGACTCGCTGACAATAGAGGGTCATGCTGACTGCAAGTCGTTTTTTTTGCAGAGCAGTGAGCTAAGAATGGAGACATTCTGGGCGGGCTGATTCCGAACCCCTTCGTCGAACCCTGCCCATCATGCGCGTCCAAGCGTCTGACAGTATCCGTCACACGCCACTGCGAATCTTTATGCGCCGCCGGCCCGTGGGATTTGTTCGATCTCTGTTGATCGCAGTCGTATTGGAAGCCTGTCGGCTTTGGCGTGGATGCTGGTTGTGCTATGCCGCCCCGAGTTCATCGTCAGCAATATTCATCAGAAGGAATTTTGGTTGATGGTTGCACACATGTTGTTCATTGCATTCGTGCTTGAAGGCCGATCCTGTCAAGCAGAAGACGAAGACCATGCTGGGTACCGTTGCTGTCTTCGGACTGTTCTGCGGCTTCATGCCGCTCGTGATCCTGCTTTCCGCCGTGACCGACCTGCACAATCTCCAGGCGTCGTGGGTGAAACGTTCCACTCGCTTTCATTCCTCCTGATCCTGGCATCTGGCACGATCTCAGACCCCGGCCCGTGCAGCGAGTCTCGAGGCGCGCCTCGCCGTCACCCTCTCTTCCGGCCTCGCCGAGAGCGTGCCCCGACGTCCAAGGCCGAGGAGGGCAAACATCGGGGGTGGACAGACCTCCTAATCTGCCACGCCGATTCGTGAATTGTCCGTTTTCGGATCTTTAGAGGTCGCCGCGGCCGTCATTTTCCAGGCTTGCAGTGGAGTGGTGTCCCGAGCGGCCCTTCTGCGGACCTCGCCGCTCCTGGGTGCCGCCAGTCGTGCAGTCGTCGCCGCTTCCCTGTGCCCCAGGAGGGGGTCCTGGGGAGTGCCGCCACGGCGGTTCTGGACGGCGGCGAGGGGGAGGACGAGCAGAAGGAGGGGAAGAAGGAAAGGATCAGGACACGGAGGGGAAGGATGAGGACGGAGAGGACGACGAGAAGCCGCATCATGAGCAGGAAGAGGTTGGCGCCCCGTGGACCCCCCCAGTCGCATGGCCCCCGTGCCGTCCTCTTAAGGAGCACATCGGCCTCGTCAAGTCGATTTGCGAGCGGTGGCCAGTTGTGGCCAGTGTCCTGGACGGCGTGTTCAGCTCGCTGGCTCTGAACGTGCTCATGGACCGTGGCCCCTCGAGGAGGTGGGCTGGGCTGGCGGGCGGAGGAGGAGGAGGAGGAGGACGAGCAGCAGACGGAGGACGAGGGCGAGGGCGAGGGCGAGGAGGTGGAGGAGCTCGAGGAGGTGGGGGGAGAGGATTCTTAGGAGTCCGAGCAGAACGAGGACGAGGAAGAGGAGGAACGGGAGGACGAGAACGGTGGTCACGAGGATGTGCATTCAGATGATGATGATGATGATGATGATGATGATGATGATGATGATGATGATGATGATAATGATGATGATGGTGATATTGACGACGACGATGATGATAATGATGATTCAGATGATACTGCTGAGGACGATGATTATGTCGATGCCGAGGACGATGCCGATGATGATGCTGTTGATGATGATGCTGATGATGATGGTGCTGATGATGCTGGTAATGGTGATGGCGATGGTGATGGTGATGATGCTGATGATGATACTTATTGTGCCTGTGGTTATGGTGACGATGGTGATGACGATGATGATGACGACGTCGATGCTAATGATGATGATGATGATGATGATGATGGTGATGATGATGGTGATGGTGATGGTGATGGTGATGATGATGATGATGATGATGATGATGATGATGATGATGATGATGATGCGTATGCTGATGCCGATTACATCCCCAGGACGAAAGTTTTCTCTTCTTGGGCCCTGAGCGAAGGTTTGAAGTCTTGAGCAGACGCGTATGAGATGCCCGCCGTCGGATCCAATTAAGTTCGCGCTGATGACATTTTGGTTTTGGTTTGTGTTTCGGTGGATCCGATTTCTGTCTGCGCGGTTCTGATTCCGGATTTTTCCGGATCCGCGTCCCATCTTAGTTTTTACGGCGGATCCGATTTATACCCTGTTTAAAAGTTTCACTATCGAATTAAAACAGGGGACCGGAAGAATTCGGATCCGCGGACCCCGCAAACCGCCCGTGTTCAGATTCTACTTGGGAGTGGCGTTGGGTAATCCATTTTCCACGATGGGCCCTGCGTCGTCTCGCGCACTCCCATCAACTCCCCGCGCGAGCGGGCCCCATTCAACATGAATACATACATCCCTCTCCCCCCGGTTGCTGCAAACAGCTCCTCCGGTCGCCGTCCGTTCGGCGGCGCCGACGTTGTCTCGCGAACTCCTCGTGGCCATTTTTACCTCAAGAGGAAACTCTTTCGTCCTGCGTAAGTATGCTGATGATGTTGATGATGATGATGGTGATGGTCGTGATGGTGACGACGATGACCATGCTGATTGATGATGGCGACGGTGTTGGTATTGATGATAACGATGACGATGACGACGCTGATCATGACGATTATGATGATATGGTGATGGTGGTGCTGGTGATGCTGGCGATGATGGTAATGAGTATGATGATGATGACGATGGTAATGATGACGACGGCGATGATGATGCTGATGATGGCGATCGTGATGCGGGTAATGACGATCGTGATGATGGTGATGGTGATGGTGATGATGCCGATGCTGATGCTGATGGCGATGATGGCAATGATGCTGGTGATGATGATGATGATGATGATGACGATGTCGATGGTGATGCTGCTGATGATGATTATTCTGATGATGATGGTGATGATGATGATGATGATGACGCGGATGATGATGATGATGATGATGATGATGATGATGATGATGATGATGATGATGATGATGATGATGCTGCTGCTGCTGCTGCTGCTGATGATGATGATAGTACAAAGAAGGAGGAGGACGAGGCGGAGCAGGCGGATGCCAGGAAGGAACGATGAGGAGAAGCAGAAAGCAGATCAGCAGAAACAAAAGAAGGGCGAGGGCAAGCGCGAGGACGAGCAGGAGCACGAGGAGGAGGAGGCGCGAGGAGTCTGTGGAGTTCGAAGAGGACGAGGGCAAAGCGCGAGGACGACGAGAAACAAAAAATAGTCACGATGATGCTGCTGATGATCGCGATGCTGATTATGTTGATGTTGGCGATGATGATGATGTTGATGGTGGTGGTTGTGTGGATGATGCTGATGATGAGGATGTTGGTGATGACGATGATGATGATGATGCTGATGGTGATGCTGCTGACGATGTCGACGACGACGAAGATGCTGATGCTGCGGATGATGCTGATGACGATGATGACACGGATGGTCAAGATAAGAAGGTTGATGGTGCTCATGACTGCTGTACTGAAGGCGATGTCGGTGATGTTGACGACGATGATGCCGACGACGATGATGCTGATGATGATGAGGAGGAGGACGCTGATGCTGTTGATGCTGATGATGATGCCGATGATGCTGTTGATGGTGAAGGTGATGGTGATGACGAGGACGAGGATGATGGTGATGATGATGATGACTATGATTATGATGCTGATGCTGACGATGATGATGCTGATGATGCTGCTGACGTTGGTGATGATGGGGAGGAGAAGGATGATGCTGATGATGCTGGTGATGATGATAGTGATGATGGTGATGATGATGCTTTTGATGATGATGCTGATTATGACGACGCTGATGGTGATGCTGATGAGGAGGGGGATGAGGAAAGGGCGGAGGAGGAGGCGGAAGTGGAGGAGGAGGAGGAGTTCGAGGATGATGGGGGGGAGGAGGAGGAGGAGGAGATACCAAGAACAAGGGGGAGAACAGAGAGGAAACAGGAGAGAGAACACTACGGGGAAAAGAACGGAGGAGGAGGAGGAGCAAACCGACGAGCAGCAGACGGGGGCGAGGGCGAAGGCAAGGGCAAGGATGAGGAGACGCTCGAGGAGGAGGAGGAGGAGGAGGAGGAGGAGAAGGAGGAGGAGGATGAGGAGGAGGGGGGTGGGCAAGGGCGAGGAAGAGAAGGACGAGAAACAAGGATGATCACGCCGATGATGACGATGATGCTCATGATGATGATATTAATGATGGCGATGCTGCTGATATTGATAATGATGCTGAGGCTGTTGATGATGATGGTGATGCTTATGATGTGGTTGGTGATGATGCTGATACTGATGGTGATGATGATGATGATGATGCTGATGATGATGATGATGATGATGATGACAATGATGATGATGATGATGATGATGATGATGATGATGATGATGATGCTGATGATGATGATGATGATGATGATGATGATGATAGTGATGATAGTGATGATAGTGGTGATGGTGATGGCGGTGGTGATGATGCCGATTCTGATGAGGAGGAGGAGGTGGAGGAGGAACCAACGTTCGAGGCGGACGAGGAGGAAGAGGATACCAAAGAAATGGGCACCTGGGCGGAACCAGGAGCGATAACACATCGGAGAGGCGGGGGGGGTGTCGGGGGAGGATTTTTATGAGTTCGATGGCGACATGGGCGAGGACGAGGGGGGCGAGAAGACTGATGCCCACGATGAGAATGATGATGTTGATCATGATGATGTTGATAATGATGATGCTGATGATGACAATGATGATGATACTGATCATGTTGGTGATGGCGATGAGGTTTATGTTGATGATGATGGTGATGATGATGGTGATGATGATGATGACGAAAATGATGATGAGGATGCTGATAATGCTGATGATGCTGGTGATGTTGATGATATTGATGCTGATGATGCTGATGGTGATGATGCTGATGCTGCTGATGATGATGATGGTGATGATGATGATGATGCTGATGATGATGATGATGATGCTGATGATGATGATGATGCTGATGATGGTGGGGAGGAGGAGGAGGAGGAGGAGGAGGAGGAGGAGGAGGAGGAGGAGGACAACACGAGAAAGGGGGAGAGCAGGGAGGATTGGGAGCGAGAACACATCGGGGAGAATGCATGAGGAGGAGGAGCAGACGAACGAGCTGCAGAAGGAGGGCGAGGGCGAGGGCGAGGGGGGAGCAGGAACTCGAGGAGGAGGAGGAGGAGGAGGAGGAGGAGGAGGAGGAGGAGGATGGGGAGGAGGTGGAGGGGGAGGGGGAAGAGTCTTAGAAGCTCGAGAAGGGCGAGGACGAGAAAAAGAATGATCATCAGGATGACCATGGCGATGCTGATGCTGATGTTGGCGCTGATGATGATGAAGAAGAAGCTGATCATGATGATGCTGATGATGATGATGTTGATGAGGATGCCAGTGATGATGATGCTGATGATGCTGATGATGATGGTGATGACGATGCTGACGATGGCGATGATGGCATGATGGCGATGCTGATGCTGATGCTGATGCTGATAATGACGATGGCGGTGATGACATGAAATGAAGATGTTAATGATGAATTGGCGATGATGGTGATGGTGCTGGTAATGATGATGCTGGTGATGATGATGGTGATATGGCTGAAGATGATGATGTTGATGATGATGATGCTGATACTTATATTGATGATGATCATGATGATGATGGTAGTGATGATGATGGTGATGGTGATGGTGATGGTGATGAAGCTGATGATGTTGGTGATGGTGTTGGTAATGATGATGATGAGGATGAGGAGAAGGAGGCGGCGGAGGAGGACGAGGAGGAGGAGGATAATAACAAGGAAAAGGGGCAGAGCAGGGCGCAGCCAGGAGCGAGAACACATCAGGGAGAAGGAATGAGTAGGTGGACGAGGAGGAACGGCGTGAAGCCACGGCCCATCAACGATGTTGCAATAAACCCTTCGTCCAAGTTTCCTCTATAAGGATCTATCTTCACTGCGGGAAGAGCCCCGTTGGAAGATAACCGTCGGAGCATCTTTAACAGTGCCAGAGAGCCGTTCCTGGATCTCCAACGCCGCGAAGCAACGTTATTGTTGTGACCTGGCGTCCCATTCCTAGGACGTCAGCGCCGCGAATCATCGTGACTGTCGCGCCCTGCCAGAACACCGTTTCTGTGACGTCCACCATCAGAATTCTTAAAGCAATTGTAACTTGTTAAGACGAGTGTGTGCGGCGCTCAAGCGAGAGCCACACGTGAAAAGGAGCCGCCCTCCATCCGTGAAACGCTTGCAAACTGTTAAGACGAATGTGCGCGGCTCTCAGGCGAGAGCCACATTTTGAAAACGACCCGGCCTTCATCCATGAAGCTCTTGCAAACGTTCAAGACGAATCTCATTTTGAAAACGGCCCGCCCTCCATCCGTGAAGCTGCTGTGGGCGAAACGCGCTGCCCGCCCTACCAACCCGTCTCGGGGTGCGGCAGGAGGGAGCTATTTATAAGGGAAGGGATGGAAGACGACGACGAAGAAAGCGAGGATCGGGATGGAGCAGTGCACGTCGACCCTGCCAGGCACACTCGTCGCCTTCTCTCCCCCTGGCCCCCGCTGCCGGCGACCCGGCACGAGCCACCGCCCGCTGCCTCGAGAGTCCATCGCGTCGAGGAGGGGAAAAAACACACAGAGACAGTTAATCGCCCACTCCCAGGAAAATATGGGAAAATATGGGAAGTGGGGGGGAAGACAGAAACCCAGAAAATATGGGAAAATATGGGGAATCGTTTTATTTGTGTGCATTTATTTGTGTGTCCTGGGGCCCCTTCAATCGCGTCGAGGACCTCTTGCCGACGATCTTGATGATGATCTTCCAGAACTTCTTCCAGCTCAAGTCCGAGGCCCCTCTCGGCCGGCGCCTCCTCTCGGCTCCCTGTCCTCGTCCGCCTCTTCCTCCTATTTCTGCACCCCGTTGCACCCGGGCGTGTGTCGAACGCCTCGCGTCGCGGAGCGCCTTCTCCACCTCCCTTGGGGTTTGTAGCCAAATGTCGACTCCTTTCGCTTCGGGGGGTGCACGTTAGGACCGGTCGTTGGGTCGTTGGCCCTGCTCGTCTGCCGCGCGCCGTTCGGCCGTGCTGTTCTGCCCCGCCCTGTGGCGCTGCCGGCGCCATGGGTGGCGGATTGGCCGCCTCCCCGTTTCAGCGCTGGGGCGAGCGTGCGAATGTCCGCGAGGGCAATGAGCATTTACCGCGTGTGTCAGCACAAGGCAACATCAAGTTCAAGCTCCGATGGGCACAGCAACAACGTGCCACTCGTTTTCGATTCCTGGGGCCTCTCGGTGTTTTTGTTGGGCCGTTTGGGGGCTTCCAGGGGACCTCTTGGGGACCTCTTTGCGGCTCCGGGGGGCTGGCCTCTTTGGGGCCGTTTGGGGCCTTGTGAGGGCCTCTTGGGCCGTCTTGGGACGCTCTTGCCCGTCTGGCTCCGTCGGAGGCTGTCTTGGCTTGGAGGCCTCTTGGGCCATCTTGGGGGCCTCTTCAGCTGTCTTGGGGGCCTCTCTGGGCCATCTTGGGGCGCTCTTGAGCCGTCTTGACTCCCTTGGACAGGCTGCTTCGGCCGTCAGGCATCCGAGAATAGAAGAAGGCGAGAACGCAAAAATCTTGCGAAACCAGAGGGCCTTTTTTTGGCGGTCGGTTGGCTATGATGGAGTGGGAGTGACTGGGCATTTTTGTCACGCCCGCGGAGGTTCAACTCCCAGGGGCCTGGAGTGCTTTGGGGGGCATCTGGTTGGCGGTTTGGGGCCTCTTGGGAGCCTTTTGGGAGCCTTTGGAGGGCCTTATGGGGGCCTCTTGGGGGCATCCTGGGGGCCTCTTGGGGGCGCCTCGGGGGTCTCTGAGGGGCTTCCTGGGGCCATGAGCGTGGGAAAGACTCGAGATGCCAGTTCGTATTGCCCCTTTTGGGGCTTTCTTGCGCCGGCCCTGCAGTCTTAGGTGCCCCTGGGACCGTCTTGGGGCTCTTGGAGCTGTATTGGGGCCGTCGAGCCCTCTGGGAGGCCTCATGGGCCGTCTTGGGACGATCTTTGGGGCCCCTTGGGCCGCATTGGACGCTGTCAAGACGAGAACGGCGAGTCTTTCGGAAATTTAGATTTCTAAGGGAATGGGAAGACTTTCGCGTATTGTGGCCCTCTCGGCGGTCCTCTGGAAGCACTCTTAGGCCAGCCTTGGGGCTTCGTGGGTTGCCTTGACGCCATCTTGGACCGTCGCGGGGTTACCCTGGGCCGTCTCAACGCTTTCTTGGATTGTGGCGGGCGGGGTTACCCTGGGCCGTCTCGACGCTCTCTTGGGCTGTCTCTGCGCTCTGTTTGGGCCCTCTTGGGCTGTTTCGGGACGCTCTGGAGGCTCCGGAGAGCCCCCAGGGTGCGTTGGCGAGCTCGCGCCCCCCCCCCCCCCCTAAACGGGGTTTGGGACCCCTGGGGAGGGGGAAGGAGGAGAGGGACAGCCAATTATCTCACACGCCTTTTCACCCCCGGCATGCGGGGGTCGGCGGATTATCACTCGCGGTAACGCCCGTCCCGGCCCGTTCCCCCCCTGCCCCTGCGTGGCCACATCACCATTCGCGCCAGAGCTGTCTGAGAGCCAGCCATGCCGACGCATCCCTGGACGGCGCCGGCGCGAATCGTGACGTTGCTGGTCCCCTCCCCCCCCTTTTCCCCCCTGGTCACGCCCGTTAGTGCTCGACAGGGGATACAAAAGTGCTTCATGGGTATAACGGTTTCGCCGTTCACAGTGGGCCCACCATGGAGAAACACATTGCGCACGATGCGAGCCAGTTTTTGTGTAGCGGTTGCGCATCATTTTCTCGTTGTCGTTCCATTGCCTCCCTCGCCCCCCACACTTTTGGATTATGCGCACGGTGCGCCCTGCATTGTCCCCCGAGGCCACGGGTCGTCACATTCGGTCGCATATGGCGCGTTGGATTTCGAGGCGTCGCCAGTTTTGTTTGGCGGTCTTCGCCCTGCAGCCGCGGCCGTTCAGACTGCCACTTTGCATTTTCGCTTTCCGAGTGTCAGCATGGTGGTTGCAGTGCGAGAATGTGGAAGGGACGGAGCCGTGGCGGGCTGAGATAAAGCGGTCTCGCAGTCCGTCGGGCAGCACTTTCGGCGCACTCGAGTCGCCTTGGCAGCTTCGCGCCTGCCACATCCTGATGAGTGCGTGGCACGCAGCGAAGTGACGCCGCCAATGGCAGCAAGTCCGAGCTCAGCACTCTTACTGGGCCGTGGAAACGGCGCGGCCTTTTTAACCGGTGCTAGACATGTTGCTCTTGATTGTGACAACGGTAAAGTGTGGTCACTGGCATAGGAAGAACGGCGCCAGAACCTGAACCAGAACCGAAGCCATACACAAGTTGAGATGGAACCAGAAAAAAAGAGGTGTCGGAACCGGAGGAACCATTTGAGAAACGGAAGCGGTAGCAAAAAGGCCTTGCCATTTCCATGGCCCATGGAGGCTCAGCAGGCACGGGCACGTTGCGCACAGAGCTCACCGCGGCGCATCCCTGGCCGTCCTGCGGCAGCTGACGGGCCGCGACGGACGCTGTCATCCGCCGATCATATATTTTGATCCGCGGCCCCAGACATTCGGATCCCTTCCCAAGGGGGGGTATCTCTCCGTCCTGGAACAATTCTTGACATCCAGGAACCTGAAAACGGCCCCGAGGGGCGAAACGAGGGAAAAACGCCGGGATTGAACACTTCTTCTCGTCGAAGGCGTGCGCCTGCGGCAGCCGACGAACTGCGACGGAGGCGGGGCATGGCCGCGCGGGGGAGGCACTGATCATTGGGTGCCAGAGGTTTCTGGTTGCGTCCGAGGCGATCGTCGCGAGCGGTTTGGAGTGCCGGTCGGTCGCTACCGATCCCGACCGAAAAAGTCGGGCATCCAATTTTCAGCCACGCGCAGAAGGGGGGTGGTCGGAGAGGGGGGGGGCTTCTTAGACGCACCCCTGCTTCTTAGAAGGCGCGGGCCTTCCCTGCAGATGTAGGGCCGGCGCCTTCTCAGAAGCAGCCTCCCCCTAAGAAGCCCTCCCCCCTCCCTCCACCCCCCCCTGTTCGGGACGACCGACATGGGTATGGAAAGAATCGGTACAATGCCCAACAGCATGTCCTGCCCATTTTGAACAGGACTCGCTGTCCGCGCCGCCGCGGCCTGTGTCCACTTAAGACAGGAGGCCGCCTGCCCAACGGCGGCCGCTGTTGGTTTGGGACAACATTTGTTGTCGGGCATTGTGCCAATTTTTTCCGTACAGTCGGGGCCCTGAAGAAGGAACCCTTCTGGTTGGGGAGGGGCTCCGCGTTCCTTAAGTGTTTCACAGCTTGCCTCAGGTTTTCCTTAGGTTTTCGATGGGAAACCGAAGTTTAACTTATGGGAAAAAAAGGGCCGCGTTCCTTATTTAGGGTTTCTTAGGTCAACGCCCCGACTGTACCCATTTCGGGCGTCCAAACTTGTGCGCGCCGCCAGAACTTTCCGCGGGGGGCCCGGCCGTCCGGGCCGGGCCCGCGCAGCTCCCGGGCGAGCCGGGCGCCCGGCGGCGCGCGGCGCGGGCGCCGCCCGCCCGAGCAGCGCCCGCACGCTGCCGCCAAGGGCCGAGGCGCCCGCCCTCGCGGCGGGAGGCGTCCAGCTCCGCGCGGCCGCCGGGGTGCGGTCCCCACCTGCTTCTGCGACGCCCCCAGACGGCGCGGTGACCACACTGCATGGTGAGTCAGTGGGGGAGGAGGAGGAGGAGGAGGAGGAGGAGGAGGAAGAGGATGATGAGGAGGAGGAGGAGGAGGAGGGGCAGGAGGAAGGGGAGGAGGACAAGCTAGGTGCGCTCGCGTCATATCTGACATCCTACCCCTCCCTCCCATCCCTTACCATGACGCAGATCCCCTCTCTACTCGCACAGTCGGATGTCGAGCAGGGCAATGATCCCGACAGGGTACGCGATGCATTGTAGAGCACGGCATGGCATGGCGTAGAAGAGCACCGCAAAGCGTAGTATCAACCGAGAATTGCATTGCATGCCGTGGCATGGCACGGGAAATGACGCCAGCGCTGCAGTGGGAGCACGAGTCGAAACGAGCGGAAGCGCGGAAATGAGGCCAGCGCTGCAGCGGGAGCACGAGTCGAAACGAGCGGAAGCACGGAAATGAAGCCAGCGCTGCAGCGGGAGCACGATTCGGAACGAGCGGGGCCCGAAAATGAGGCCGGCGCCCCAGCGAGAGCAGCATTTTGAAAAAAATGCATGCGAAAACCCAACTCCGGGGAAACCTGTGTGTAAAAAACAGTACGCGGGGGGGGGTCGGACACTCCCAGGCACTCATCAGGGGGCAAAACGCTTCCTCTCCAGGGCCTTCTCGCTCCTGACGGTTCGGTGGTTACCTCCTCCTCGGCCATGGTCAAGTCTCTTCGGAACCATTGGGACCCCGTTTTTGCGCCCCGCCCTGTTGGCGAAAAGCCATTCGATATTTGTGATGTGGCCCCGCCCACAGTTTCTTCGATTGCCTGTGTTATCAAACGGGCCAAACCGACGGCCCCTGGACCAGACGGACTCCCCTATGCTGCGTGGCAGCAGAGCTCGATGTCGCAGGAAGTTTTGTATGGGCTCATGATTGAGCTGCTGTGTGGGTATCCTCCTCCCACCTCGTTGAACGATCTCCTCCTGATCTTCGCCCCTAAGGGTAGACGGGAGCAGGATGCGTCCTTTGTGCTACGTGAGCCACAGACCACGAGACCCTTGGCGCTGAAGAACTCAAATGTGAAAATTTTGGCATCGGCGTGTAACGAAAGGGTGAAGAGACAGGTTGTGCGGCAGGCTCACCCTGACCAGCGCGGATTTCTAGTGAAGAGAAACTTTTTAGATAATATAACACTGTTCGACACTTCGGCACGCATTGCCAGCATGCATCCAGAAGCCAGCTCACGTCTCCCCTGTCTCCTCTTCCTCGACTTTGGTAGTGCCTTCCCCTCCCTCCTTCACTCTTTCTCTGGGCAGTGCTCGAGCGTTGTGGCTACCCGACAGGGCTTCTGCAGTTTGCACAAGCTACATACACCTTTGCGATGTCTCGGACGCCGGTTTTAGGACAGTTATGGGCATGTTGCACGATCATGTCTGGGGCGATGCAAGGAGACCCCGCCTCAGGCACTCTTTGGGCCTTGGCGATGGACCCCTTCCTGAGGGACATGCGTTCCAGGCTTCGTAAGCATCCAGGATGTGAAATCGGAGCATGCGCGGATGACATCGGTGCGACGGTAGCTGAGCTGCAGGCCCTCTCCAGGCTCGCAGGTGTTTTTTTTGCGCCGCGGATTTCCTAGCTGGCCTCGCCCTCAAGCTCCCCAAATGTCGCCTCGTTCCCGTCTCTGAGACCTTCTCCTCCTCTCTCCAATTTAGGGTTCAGGAGCGACTGGCCAAGTTGGTTCCGCGGTGGCGATCGATCCCGATCGTAGACGCTGCTGAATACTTAGGAGTATGGTCTGGACCTGCTGCGACGAAACATGTGTGGGCGAGGGCGTTTCGGGAGTGGGTGGGGGTGGTGAGGAGCATAGCAGAGACCAGTGCGCCACCGTCGGTGGCTTTGTACATGTACAATTCGCGTGCGGCTTCGAAATTCGGTTATCTTGCGCAGTTGAGTCCGTTCCCCAGAACCATCGCAAAGTGGGAGTCTTGGGCATTGCATAAGATTTTGCATCTTCCGCCGTTCTCGATGCCGCTGGACCAATTGCTTGCACTGCGTCACTGGTCGAAGCTGAGACCTCTTTCCATGCAGGCCCAGTCGGTGGCTGCGTTGATCCGAACAGCCAGGTGCACGGTCACGAACTGGAGACCGCTCTGGTCCAAGCTACAGAAGGTGGCTGAGTCGGCCCTCCCGATGACGACGTGGTTGGCTGATGTCTGGTCGCCTGTGCACTGGCAGCCACCTCCGTGTGTTCAGGAGCTGGCGAGAGCGGATAGTGGGTTCTCTGGGGCTCCCTCCCTGAGGTCGGCGATCGCGGTGGCCCTCGGAGCTCCCGGCGAGGCGCAGCGTGCTGACCCGCGTGTCCCTGTGCAGCGCACCCTCGCCAGATCCTTGGCCAGCTCTCTTTTTGTAGAAGATTTCGCGCCCATCATCTGGAGGCGCCTAGCCGAGTGGGCGTCTCGGACCCCTTCCCGTCGGGCTCGTGCGGGGGTGAGTCGGCCTGCGCTTCGTGAGTGCTTGGCTAGCTTCCCCCCCGCGTGGCAAAGTTCGGTAATCAAAACTCTGGTGGGGGGGTGGACGACGGAGCGGAGGATGACGCAAACCGACTGCCGCTGCAAATTCGGATGCACGGATGCCCTGGACGCTCAAGCTCATTACATGGCGTGCCCGTACCTCTGGGGGGCGGTGCTCTCAGTGTGGTGGCCCCAGGAGCCCATTGAAGTGTTCCTCGATCGGCGCCTCGGTCTCGCTCGAGAAATGACGGAGCCCCAGAGACTGAGAGCGCTTGAGCGGCTCACTATTGCGTTTTAGTTGTACAATTCAGTCCGTCGGTTCAATGACATCGACGAGGAGGTTTTACTTCAATATGCTCGAGCTGCGAGATCGCAGTTCTTGCAGCAAGCAGAGCCCTGTGAGGGCTAGAGTGGACGAACTCCTTCCGAGGCTACGTCTGAGGAGGAGGAGGAGGAGGAGGAGGAGGAGGGGGAGGAGGAGGAGGCGGAGGAGGAGGAGAGGAGGAGGAGGAGGAGGAGGGGGAGGAGGAGGGTTCACCGCACGGCTCGGGGACGGGGGGCGTTCTCCGAGGACGTCCTCGGGCGACCAGGGCCCCCTGCCAGGGTCCCTGCAGAGCCGTGCGGCGGCGGACCGCGCCGGTGAGGTCGCTGGGGGCGCCGGGCTCCCCACGCGGTCGGTGGCCACACGGTGTCGGGGCCCCGGGCAGCTCTGGCCGGGGCCCCGACACCGTCACGTCCACACCCGGTGGCCACACGGTGGCCACCGACCAGAGCTCGGTGGACGTGTGGCCACGGTGTCGCGTCCCGGGGCGTCCCAGTGCACGAGCTCGGTGGCCACACCTGGCACGTCCCGGGGCGTGCCCCTGCGGTGTCGGCAGGCTCTTCGGCGAGATGTGCTTTGGCCCATAGAGCGGGCGGCTTGAATAAGGAACGCTTGCTTTTCAAGAGGGGCTCGGTCGTTCCTCAGGCTTGCACGCGTTGATTACAGCTCCCTATGCGTTATTTGTTATTGATCGTTCCTTGTGCGTTATTCCTTGGGATAAAAAGGGGCTTCGTTCCTTATTTATCGTTCCTTAGGTCAAGCCGATGACTGTAGCCCGACGCGTGTCCTCGGCTTCGGCCCCTGGGGCCCTTGGTGTGGGGCCCCGGGGCCAACCTGTCCAGAGCGACAGGAAAGCTGCATCGCGGGGGGATGGGTCGGAGGCTCTGGGGTCGCGGACGGGGCAAAGCAGGCCGGCGGACGTCTGGGGCGTCGCTGCTTCCTGCCTCTTCGCTCCCGGGCGGCGCAGGGAGGGCAGGGCGGAGGGTCAGAGCCCCGAATCATCAGGGGTAACTCGGGTCAGGGCCAACTCGGGCTCGTGTTCCGAGAATCCAAAGCCGAGTTACCCCGGGCCCGAGTTGCCCCGGATAACTCGGGCGTCCACAGCCCCAAATCATCAGGGGTAACTCGGGTCAGGGCTAACTCGGGCTCGTTTTTCGGGCATCTGAACATGAGGTACCCCGGGCCCGAGCTACCCCGGATAACTCGGGCGCCCAAGAGGGGGGGTGGGGGCGGGGCGAGAGGTGCGAGGTGAAGCGGGGCGCAGTCGTTCCAGGCCGCGTCCTTGCGGGGGTGTCGAGGACTCTCTCGTGGGGCATCCCGCGGGGCTCTCGCGCGCTGGGCGTGGCGTGGCAGCGTGGAGCTCGTCTCTCTTGGGGGCTGCCACCTCTCCAGGGCCGCGGCCGTTGCCGAGCCACCTCCAGCCATGGCATCCCCGGTTGCTATCCCCTCGCATTCTTTCTCCTCCACTGCCTCTTCCGCATGCGTCCGAGCATTTCGCAGCGCAGGCCTGGGGGCAGCACCGGCTGCAGATCTGCTTTTTCTGGTTCTTGCTCATCTTCGTTGTGCTCATCACTGCTGTTGGCAGCTCGCTGACGGCTGTGATGAAGGCTCCTGGGGAATGCGAGGAATGCGGATTTGTTTGGTCGAAGGGAGGCTTGAAGGCAGGCGTCAGATGGTGAGATAATTTACGCAGAGTGCTGCTGAACCGTGTGTGGAGATCAGATAAGGGAGTCGAAGCACGCCAACCATCCACCTATAAAGATCCTGGCAAAACCGATCCTGGCCAGGATCGGTGTACGTAGGATTGTCGAGATTGGCTAGCTGGCGTTGGCCGCTCGGTCTGGCCTGGAGTGTGCCGTAGTGCGACAGGAGCAGCGCAAGGAAAACGAACCGCATCAGCGGTGCAAACAGGAGCAACATCAGCACGAGCAACCAGAAAGGAAGAGGGGAATGAGCGAGGAGGAGAGTGTGTATGGAGACGGAAGCAGAGGAGAATGAGGCGGTGGAGAAAGAAGACGAAGAAAGGGGAGACGGCGGAGAACGGAGGATGATGAGGAGCGAGAGGAGGAGGATGGGGATGTGGTTGTGGATGAGGCGTTCCAGCACCTTGTCATGTGCATGCAGATGCTTATCTCTGTGAACTGAGCACTGTGAGGAGGAGAAGGAGTTGGATGATACGAAGATGGTGATGTTGATGCGGAGGAGGAGGAGGAGGAGGAGGAGGAGGAGGAGGAGGAGGAGGAGGGGGATCAGGAGGAGGAAGAGGAGGAACACTTGCAGCGCGACGAGGGGGCGGAGGATGGAGAGCAGGCGAAGCAAGAGGTGGATGAGGAGAAAGCAGGACGGGCGGAAGGAGCAGGAAGTAAGAGATGAACAGTGAACGAGACGAGCAGGAAGAGCATCAGGAGGAGGAGGGTCGGGAAGGCGGAGGACAAGCAGCAGCGAGAGCAGGGGCAGAAGGTGGAGGAGGAAGAGGAGAAGAATGCGAGGGATGATGAAAAGCGGCCGCAGCAAGAGAAGCAACAGGAAAGGGGAAGTGAGGATAGGGGGGGGAAGGGTGAGGGGGACAGCGCACGGGGGAGTGGGATGTGGGAAGGCGGCGGAGAGGGGAATATCGAGGGGAGGGGGTGGCACCGGAGGGAGAGCGGTGTTGCCCCCCCCCCCCCCCCGAACACCTGCATCTCTCCTCCTCCACCTCCGCCTCGTTCCCTCCTCCTTCTCCTTGTCCCCGCCCACCTCGGGGGGGAGGAGGGGGAAGGGAAAGCTGGAAGGAGAGGGGGAGGGGAGGGGGGGAGGGTGATGGGGAGGAGACGTAGGCGAAGAGGCGGAGGAGGGAGTGGACTGCGCTTGGATGACATGCTATTCCGCCTGCCCGCAGTTTCAGCACGAGTATGGCCCTTGCCCCTTGCTATCCTCCAGTCCAGCGTCTAGCTGCCCAAAGACCTGGCGCAGGGAGCAAGAAGGCATGCGCTCTGATTTGCATGTTGAGAGCTCCAGGAGGCTTCCGGCGGTAACCTGGTTGACGGTTTAACGCCGGCTCGCAGGTTGAACATCCGTTGGAGCTCTGGTATCTTTTCTGCCCATCTTCGATCTGATTTCCGGTCTTGATCTGGATCTCTGGTCTGCAGGAGAAGAGTGACGATGGGGGGACGAAAGGAGGCGAGGAGAGGCGAGGCAAGGCCTTGAGGGTAGCAAGAGGGCCTTGCCCCTTGCTGTCCTCAAGTCCAGCGTCTAGCTGCCCAAAGGCCCGGCGCAGGGAGCAAAAAGGCATGCAGGAGAAGAGGGAGGAGAGGCGATTGGGAGGCGAGGGGAGGCGAAGGCAAGGCCTTGAGGATAGCAAGAGGGCCTTGCCCCTTGCTGTCCTCCAGTCCAGCGTCCAGCTGCCCAAAGGCCTGGCGCAGGGAGCAAAAGGCATGCAGGAGAAGAGGGAGGAGAGGCGAGGGGAGGCGAGGAGACAGCGAGAAGACAGCGAGGAGAGGCGAGGGGGGGACGAAAGGAGGCGAGGAGAGGCGAGGCGAGAGACGAGGGGGGGGTGACGAAAGGAGGCGAGGAGAGGCGAGGGGAGAACGGTGCGGCAGGATGTCATCCAGAATCCGATGAGCCTCTTCTCGCTCCTGGCCCAGACGCTGCCCCAGGCTGGCCGGCGCTTCCCCCGCCCCCGCTGGAGGGAGGGGGAGGGGGAGGGGAGGGAGGGAGGGAGGGAGGGAGGGAGGGAGGGAGGGAGGGAGGGAGGGAGGGAGGGAGGGAGGAGGAGGAGGAGGAGGAGGAGGAGGAGGAGGAGGAGGAGGAGGAGGAGGAGGAGGAGGAGAAGGAGGGAGAGGGAGAGGGAAGAGGAGGCGGAGGAGGAGGAGGAGCAGGAGGAGGAGGCGGAGGAGGAGGCGGAGGGAGGAGGGAGGAGGGAGGAGAAGCAGGAGGATAGGGCCGAGGAGGAGCTCAGAAGCCCAACGCTGGAGTTCTCCGAGAAGGCCGGCAGGCCCCAGAAGCAGAGGCCCCGAGCCTCCGTCGGGCGACCGGGGAGGCGACGCCACAGCAAGGTTTCTATGATTGCCCTTGGGCGCCTGGCAGTCCCCCGGGGCGGGCGCCAGGGAGTGCCCCGCTAACAACAACAGCACCAGGACCTCGACACCTGAGTTCCAGGCGAGGTTTCAGGCAGGCCCGATAGGTCTATAAGCCTGGAGGGCTATTTTTTTGGCAATCTGGAAGGTCAGGGTCGTTGCCCTCCCTTCCGTGCCCCTGCCCAGAGTCGACGTCGCAGCGCCCTCTCGTCCTACGCCGTGTCGTTGCCCTCCCATCCGTGCCCCTGCCCAGAGTCGACGTCGCAGCGCCCTCTCGTCCTACGCCGTGCGTCTGCCGCACCGTGCCCCCAGCCTGGCGAGGGAAGGGGGGATGGGAACGCGCTTCTCGCGAGCGGCACCCCGCAGTCCATGGCCTCTCTGCGGCCTCGCTCCCCCTCGCCGCTCCAACGCTGCCCCCCCCCCCCTCCTCCTCCCCCTCCTCCTCCTCCTCCTTCTTCTCCTCCTCCACCAGGCGGCTCCCCAGCGAGGCCCCGCGCAGCCGTCTTGCCCCTCGGGCGGCCGCGGACGGGCCCGCGACCATGGGAGCCCCCAGCGCCGAGGGCGCGACGCACCGGTGAAGGCAGCCTGCCTGCTGGCGCCGCCGGCCGTGGCTCTATGTGGTGTGCGCCCCCGACGAAGGTGAGGCGCCCCGCGGCGAGCAAGAGCCAGCGGCGCGCATGGAGGAGGCTGCTCCTGGCGACCAGCCGCCAGGCCGCCCTGGACCACGGGCTGGTCGAGCTGGATTTCGGCGCCTGGCCAGCCACGCCCTTCGACTACGGCTTCGTCGAGGGCTGGCTGCAGGATCCCGCGCGCGAGAAGTGCGAGAAGTGGGAGGCGACGGTGGTGCCCAACACGATCAGCTACAGCGCTGAGACCTGCCCCGCAAGCCTCGAGCCTGGGACCAGCGACTACGCGACGTGGGAGGCGAAGATGGAGCCCGACACGATCAGCTACAGCGCTGGGACCATGTCATGCGAGAAGGGGGAGGTGAAGTTGGAGCCCACCGTAACCAGCCACAGAGACACGGCGGGATGCGAGAAGCTGGAGGCGAAGACGAAGGTCGAGCCCAACGTGACCAGCTACAGTGCAGAGAGCCCATGGGCGGAGAGGGAGGCGAAGACAGAGCCGCACGTGATCAACTACAGTGCCGAGGCGAGCGAGAAGGAGCGAGAGACGTACGAGCGAGACGGGCGAGCAGTGGCTGCTAAGTTGGCGAAGCTGGAGCCCAATATCGTTTGCTACTCCTCGTCGAGCCTCGTCGCCACGGCTGGATCAGAGATAACGGTTTGCGATCAGTGCGTGAAAATTGTTTGCGAGAAGTGTGAGAGAGAGAGAGAGAGAGAGAGAGAGCAGAGCGAGAAGGGGGAGGCGAAGATAGAGCCCGACACCACCCGCTACAGTGCTGGGACCAGGGCGTGCGAGAGGCGGAAAGCGAAGCTGGAGCCCGACATCACTAGCCACCGTCCTGGGATCAGCGCGTGCGAAAAGTGGGAGGCAACCAGTGAGCCCAACACCATCAGCCTCAGCGCTGGGACCAGGGCGCGCGGGAAGGGGGAGGCAAAGATGGAGCCAGCTATCGTCAGCTACAGCGCGGGGACCAGCGCGTGCGAGAAGGGGAAGGCGAAGCTGAGCAGCTACAGCGTCAGCAGGCCATGTGGTGCGCACGCTCCCACATCGCCAGCACATGGCTAGAAGGCGGCGAAGCGATAGAGCCCAACGCCATCAGCTACAGTGTTGGAATCCAATGGGAAGCGGAGGACATACATGGAGTGTGGGGGGCCCTTCCGAGGGCTGACCAGAAAAAGGTGGAGAAGCGATCTCAAAGATATCTCCACGGTGAGGAAAGCGGCGAGTTCACGATCACAGGGTCGAACGGGAGGCCCACGTGGCCCTTCAGAGCAGATTTCGACAACATGCTGCTCCTGAGGGCCACGAGGGCGAAGGCTTCGATCAAAAGCGTCAGGATACGCAGAGTGTGAATTGCGCTGTTTGTGAGAAAGGAGTTCTCATGCTGTTTGAGGGAATTGCAGTATGGTTGTGAGAAGTGAGAGAAATGCAGAAGCTGTGAGGAGGGCCAGCACCGCCTCGCGGGGCGGAGCCAGGGAGGCGACTGCAGCGCCCTGCAGGCGCGCCCAGTCGCGGGCTGCGGCGCCGAGGGGCCGACGCCGCCCCATACCCAGCGAGGGAACCCTTTGAGAATGGGGGCATACCCTGGGGAGGGGCGAGGGCGTCGGCGTACAGCGGACAGACCTGGCCCTGCGTCTGTCCGCGGGGTAGAGGGGGGCGGTGGCCAGACGGTCGCGCGGCCTCCCGCGGCGCCCGAGCGCGGCCGCCACATACCCCGAGAGGGAGCCCCCTGAGAATGGGGGCATACCCGGGGGAGGGGCACAAGCGCCGGGGGCGTCGCGAAGCTTCTCGACCAAGTCGTCACGGAAACAGTCTGGAAACACTCTTCCTCCTCCACCTCCTCCTCCCCCTCCTCCCCCTCCTCCTCCTCCTCCTCCTCCTCCGCCTCCTCCTCCTCCTCCTCCTCCTCCTCCACCTCCACCTGCTCCTCCTCCTTCTCCTCCTCCTCCTGCTCCTCCTCCTCCTCCTCCTCCTCCTCCCCCACCATGCACGCACTCATGGTCCGCCAATGGAGATGTGCGCCACGGGCTGCTGGTCCGCATCCCGAAGTCGGGCGTCCCGTTTTGCGCTTTTGAGGCCGTGCGACGCCCTGGCACGTTTCGGCCATTGACGCTGCTCAACACCGACAGGAAGCTGATCGCGACGGCTGTCAACCACGAGCTCGCGGTAACTGCGCATAAGAAGGCGGTTGCAGTCCAGCACGGCTTCGTGCGCGGTAGGATCTTCATCCCGAACATCATCAACCTGTACATGATGGCCCTCGCTTTCAGCGCACTCTGCGAGTCGGAGGGCGGCCACCCCGCGCTGCTCACATTCGACGTGCGCGCGGCCTTCCCCAGCGTCAGCAGGCGCTGGATGATGCCGGTGCTGGACAGGTGCGGCCTGTGCGAGGCCACGCGGACACTGATCTCCGCCATGTACGACAAGCGGGTGGCCTGGCCGAGGGCTGGTGAAGACTTGATGGAAGCCTTCACGGTGACGGTTGGCGTGGGGCAATGCTGCCCAATGTCTGGTTCTCTGGGCTCTCCTCTTCTCCCCGTTCCTGGAACACCTGTCGTTCGTCCTGGACATGCCGTGGCGCTGGGAGTCCTGGCGATTTGTACGTCCCATCGTGCAGCGCAAGGGCGACGTCCAGGGTTGCGCTGATGATGTGGGGCTCGTTGCCCGCGACCTCGCCACCCTGGCCGCGGTGGGCCCTGTCTTCACGGCGATGCAGAGCATGGCCTGCCTGGGGCTCAATCTTCACAAGTGCCACCTGGTCCCGCTCTGGGCGCCGATCACCGACGAGCTCCTCGTCTTCGTCAAGGGTGCGCTCGAGGCGCATGTTGCTGGCTGGTCCTCTTTCACGATTTCCTCCATGGCGAAGTACCCGGGCTGCTGGCTTGGACCTGGGGCGGACCTGGACAGGCAGTGGCATGAGCCTGCTGCCAAATATGCTGCTCGAGTCCGAGCACTTGGCTAGAGTACCCTCTCTAAAGATGCTGTGGTCCAGGCGTGCAACGGTCTGGCGGTGCCCTGCCTCCTGTATGTGGCCATGCTTTTCCCGCTGCCAGAAGCGATCGTGGCGAAGGAGCTGGACTTGCTGCATGTGCTGCTGCGCGCGCCGCCGAAGTCGTTCCGCAAGGATTGCTTGCTCTTGCTGGGCACCAGCCTGCAGGTGACGGCGCCGCTGTCCCTTCATGCTGCGGCGACGGCTGCGCGGTTGCGCGCCGCGCTCAAGATCCCGACCGAGTGGCACTCGCAGCTGCAGGAGGTGGAAGCCCACTTCATGGACGTGTGCGGCGCAGCGCAGATCTGTTTGGCGGACTTGCCGACGGGGCTCTTCACGCCGCGCTGGTGGCTGGATCGGCGCGGTCCTGCGCGCCACCTGCGGGACACGCTGGAGGGTCTGGCGCCGCACGTCCGCGAGCGCCACCGACGCCGAGCGGAGGCCCTGATGAAGGCGGCGAGGCGGCGGACGGAAGCCGCAGAGGCCGCCTGGCGCGTGGCGCCGCGGCCAGCAGGTGATCGAAGGTAACAGCGCTTCTCTTTTCAGTCCACCTTTCGCACCATTCTCACCTCTCTCTCTCTCGTTCGCTGATCTTTTTCCGCTCACGTGTCGGAAGAGGCTGGCCGCTTGGGATGTCAGAGCTCCGCCTTTGCGAGTGCTCACCAGGCGTTGGGCCGCCCTTAAGCGAGCTCGTATCGGGAGGGGGCGGGGTGATCGGTGGGCGGTGATCAAAACCATGTGTTGTGCGTGGCCCACGACTGCGCGCATGCACGTTTCGCCAGTTCGTCATTATCTTTGTAACTCTGGTTGCAATGAAGGTGCCGACACGATGTCACATTACCTTCGATGTAGACATGTGTGGTGGGCTGCTTGTTATCCCAGAGAAGTTTGCTTTGGCTCCGTATTAATGAAGCTTTGTCTGGGATCCCCCCCAGGATCATGCCTCGACCCCCGATGACAATCTCGATCGGTCGATCTCGAGGCTTAGCCTGGCGCACAAGTTGCACTGTATCATTTCGGCGCAGCCTGGTTCTCGGCCACAGCATTTACTCTGGTGCCTGGAATCTGCACGCGCACGCACGGGTAGGGAGGCACGAACCCCTTTTGGAGCGACTGTCGCTCCTCCTCCTCTTCCTCCTCTTCCTCCTTCTCCTCCTCCGTATCATCATGATCATCATCGTCAGCAGCAACATCATCATCATCATCATCAGCTTCATCATCCCCATCATCCTCATCATCAGCAGCATCATCATAATCATCATCGTCACACGCATCATAATCAAAGTCGCCGACGTCAACGTAAACATTACCAGCGTCATCAACATTATCAGCAGCAGCATCAGCATCACCATAACTCTCATCATCTCCATCACCGCCATCATCATCAGCATCATCATCATAATCAGCATCATCGTCGTCGCCACCAGCAGCGTCAACATCATCTTCGTCATCATGATCATCGTCGTCATCATCCTCATCCTCATCATCATCAGCAGCAGCAAATTCGTCCCTCCTTCCCCTTCCTCTGGGGCAGGGCTCGGCGAAGCCGACCCGACATCGACAGCGCTTCAGGATTGGCCCGAGGGGTAGTTGCTGGCGGAAGGCGCTGCCGCTTTGGGGTGCGCTCCCCGCGGAGCTAAAGCCAAAAGAGGGACTCCCGCGCTCAGGCTACCCACTTCTACCTGAACTTCATGGTGCTGCAGTCGGCGACCCACGGGGTCAAGCTGCTCAGGCCCCGGGCGGACCTTCTGCCCGGCACGTCCCCTCCCCTCCCCGCTTGCCGCCTCGCCCGGCCTCCCCCCTGGCCCCCTGCGCTGCTCCAGCGAGCGTGGACAGATGCCCCCCGTCGTGCGTAAAGGAGGGGCCGCTATCCCAAGATGGGTTAGGGAACGAACCCATCTGGATGCTCAGGGGCCTTTCGGAACGATCGTCCTCTAGCCTCACCTCTGCCACTGCCCTGGCCTTGCGTTGCTCCCCTCCCCCCTGTGACGAGAAGCAAGTTCGCACTACGACACATGTAGACGTAAACTGATATGATGATGCTCTTTCTGCCATTTCTTCACCGCCGCCTTTGCAATAACGCAACCCAGCGTTGTGTGCCGATCTGTATCTGATATAGATTATTGTTTATAGCTGAGCCCGGCTTGGGCATTGGCCGAAAGCTTGTGATAGCGAATGCGGTTCCCCCCGCTCTTCCCCGGTGTCCCTACGCGGTGACCAGCCCGGCAGCTGAGAGATTGGTCGCGTTTTCCCTCTTGCAGCTCGTGGCTTCCTCGCTATCTCGGCGTGACCACTTGGTCTGTGGGCCCTCGTCCTCCACAGGCGCAAGACATTCGCGCGGACCTCCAGACGTTCATGCTCATTCCGCTCTGGGGCTTTCTATCCTCCCTTGTTCGCCGTCTCCCCAGCGGGCCAATACAGTCGGGGCCCTGAAGAAGGAACCCTTTTCGTTGGGGAGGGGCTCCGCGTTCCTTAAGTGTTTCACAGCTTACCTCAGGTTTTCCTTATGTTTCCGATCGGAAATCGAAGTTTAACTTATGGAAAAAAAGGGGCCTCGTTCCTTATTTAGGTTTCCTTAGGTCAACGCCCCGACTGTACTCAGGCCCTCCCCCGCTCCCGCTTCCGCGCGCGCGGCTCTTCGTGGGAGTCGCGTCGGGTCGGGGTGGGTATCTCTCGGTGGCTGGAACATATACAGTGGCGGGCTGTTTCCCAATCAAAGGGCTTTTGGAGGGTCGGGGGCGACGTCGGGGTGGTGTGGTGTGCTTTTTAATATGTTTCCCGGGTGAACAACAAAAAATGTATACACCAGGGTCCTGTATGCACCAGGACCCGCCTTCCTGTGCAAATTTCGGTGCAGGGCCAGAAAATGCGTCGGTGCATGAAGCTCGTTTCCCGAATTTCGGCCAAGCATAGAGGGGGGTAGGGGGAGGAGGGGGGGAGGCTTCTTAGAAGCACCTCTGCTTCTGAGAGGGCGCGGGCCTTGCCTGTAGAAGGAAGGCCGGCGCCTTCTGAGAGATGGCCTCCTAAGAAGCCCCCCCTCCTCCCCCTACCCCCCTTTTGCGCGCCTCCACATATTGGAGTCGGCTGGGGGCCTGAGGTAACCCAGCACTGGTTCTGGCCAGCAGGAATGGAGGTGGGGGCCAGGTTTGAGGTTCTGGGTTCGAGAATTTTTTTTGTTTTTTGTACGGCCCCCGGGGGTCAAAATTGCACAGGATGGACCATGGGAGGGGTCTGGGGACCAATTTTGAGCAGATTTGGCTTCATGCCAACTGACCGATGTTCTCTGGGCCCACCCAGCGTCCACGCGCAACTACACTATTGCATCCAACGCGCAGACTGCTTCATCCAAACACCACCTACTGCAAGTATCAGGAGGAGGAAAAAACACACAGACACAATTAATCGTCGATTCCCCAGAACATATGGGAAAATATGGGAAGTGGGGGCGGGAAGACAGGAATCCAAAGCATAGCGGAAATATGGGGGGAATCTTTTTACTTGTGTGTCGTTCTTTGTGTGTCCTGGGGCCCCTTCAAAGCACTATTGCCCCTCTCCCCGCGGGCACATTTGCGCCGGACCCACTCCTCCGGCGTTACGGGCCGCGCGCGCCCCCCCCCCCCCCTTCACGAGCGGCGACCTGATCCGTGTCCGCGCCCTCGCGGCCTGGCATCTGGGGCGCGGCCCCGTGGGTGCGCGGCCGTGCGGCTGTGCTCCGCGCGCGGGGCATCCGCGAAAGAAAGCGCCCCGACGCGGCCCAGGGGCCGGGGCCCGCAAGGCCGCGGAGACGGATATGTTCGACTAGACGTAAGAGTGACCTTTCGCCGGAGGGACCTTTGGTGCGGGCACAGATGGGTCCCCAGATGGCTGGACACGAAGCAGGAACAGCGGCTTGCGCGCCCAGGTTGGGTCCCCCCGCGGCCCCCAAAAAGCCGCGCACCAAAGGTCACTCTTACCCAGGGTCACTCTTGCGTGTAGCCGATATGTTTGTTCCGCCCACGACGCCCACCCCCCACGCCGTGCTCCAGAGTCGGGCCAAGGAAGCGCGCCGAGTAGGAAGGCTGCCTGCCTGCAGGGGTGCCAGACGGAAACCCCTGATCCCCCCCTCTGGCCCCAAGAACCCCTTGAAGCTCTTGGGCACGTTCGGATCCTCAAAGATCGACGAATCATGTTCACAAGATCTCCTATTTCAAGATTGTTTCGTCGTGCGCGTTTACTGTAGAGCGTGCCGCACGCTCGAGCGTGTCGGTGTGCGCGGTTCGATTCGGTGGTTCCGTGTGCCGGCCCGGGGCAGCTCTCCGCTGACACCCGCCGCTCGCCCGCTGTGTACGTCGCAGGGCCGGCTTGCCGGGGCAAGATCGAGAGGACTTGCGCCTGTGGAATCGGGCTGGAGGGATCGAATCGGGAACAATTGCACAAACAGCATTTGTTTGGGGTCCGCGCGGACTTCTTGGAATCACGCTGGACTCCGCTGGCGGCGCCTCCAGCGCTTTCCCTGGCACGCTCGGCGCGCCAGGGAGTGGGGTCCAGCGAAGATCCTAGAAATCTGCGCGGACCTTCAAACATCCATGCTTGCGTCGTTGTTCTTCTTCCAAGGGGGTGTGGTGCTGCTCCCGAGTCCCGATGCTGGAGAAGGCGTGGAACGCTTTTCGAAGTTCGGGCGTCGCGTTTTATAACCTCAACTGGTAGATGCCTGCCTACTCAGGTCTGGGCACGAGAGGACGTCCCAAACAAACCATCATGCACATTGATTATTCGTGCTGGTCGTTGCCGGCGCGTGAGCCCTGCGCCTACGAAAGACGAGGCCTGGTCGGCCCGCCTGGCTTGGAGTCCCCTCGATCAGGTCCGCGATTCGCCCAAGCGTGTCCAGGGTCAGGGTTGTCCAGATGTAAGTCGGGCCTGTCCCCCTACAGGGGGATTTTCGATGAAAAATAAAAAACTCCCCAAATAATCAAACAATAGTCCAAAAATAGTCTGGGGACTATTTTTTGAGTATTGTGTTGGCCTTCTTGGTGCATGTTTGGGGGTATTTTTTTATTTTTCGTCGACAATCCCCCTGTAGGGGGACAGGCCCGACATACAGCCGGGGCCCTGAAGAAGGAACCCTTTTCGTTGGGGAGGGGCTCCACGTTCCTTCGGGTGTCTCACAGTTTGCCTCGGGTTTTCCTGAGGTTTTCCATTGGCAATCGAAGTTCAACGTGTGGGAGAAAGGGGCCTCGTTCCGTATTTAGGGCTCCTTAGGTCAAGGCCCCGACTGTAAGTCCAGATGCGGGGCTCAAGCCCCCAAGGGGACCCCTGCCCCCCACTCGCGCCCGTGCCCCGCGCCCCCGCGGCGCTCCCCTGCCGGGCCGCGCGCCGAGGCAGATGCCCCTGTTGAAGTTCCTCTTCTTCCGCACGGTGTACGGGGAGGAGCCGCTTCCCCCGCCCGACACTCTGCTGAAGCTCGGCGAGCGAAGAACGGTATAAGATAAACTTTTTCGCCGTCGGGGACACCTGCCCCCAGGGCGGCTGGAAAGTGTATACCCCTGCGGTGCCACCGTAAGGGTATAACCTTTCCAGCCGCCCTGGGGCAGGTGTCCCCGACGGCGAACAAGTTTATCTTATACCGTTCTTCGCCCGTGAATTGAAGCGGCATGATTTTGCAGCGGCGGCGGTCGTGATGGGGACGCGGATGTCGAGGCAGCGTCGGGCGCGGCGCCTGCAACGACGGTGTTTTCGAGCTTGGCGGTGACACCGCTGCTGGTCATCGGCAGCAGTTTACTTGAGCGCGAATCGCGAAAGTGGCATTGAGGCGAAAGGGCGGATGTTGAAAGTATATTTTGGGGAAGGCGGTGAAGGAGTTTAGCATTTCCATGTTCCTTCATTTCGTGAGGCGCAGCCTACCTGCTCTCTGCAATGCCTGACAGAGTCGCCCCCTCCCTCTCCCTCTGCCTCCTCCTCCTTCCCATCCTTCTCCTCCTCCTCCTCCTCCTCCTCCTCCTCCTCCCACCTCTTCCTCCGATGGCTCTACTTGTCACACACACAATGATGGCTCATTATTTTACAGTTTCACTGTCTGATGTACTCTAGCCTCTCCATGCGCTTCGCGCACTATGGAGTTGTCCCGCTGGACGGAAGGTTGGCCGCCGCCGCTCCGCTTCTCTTCGTAGTGATAAAATTCTTGACGCGTCGCGCATCCACAGTAGCCCATCCAAAAACAATCACCAGGCGACTTGCCCTCATCAGGATGTGTAGCAGCGGGCAGTCCCGTTCTGGGAGCCTCTTGGATACATCTTGGGGCCATCGTGGGACCATTTGGGAGGTCTTTGGAGCTCTCTTGGGGCCCTCTTGTGGCCCTTGGGCTCTCATCCATAAAAAGGAGGGGCAGCGCCAATTACGGCCCCCCAAAATCGGAGGCCGAAAGGTCGCCTCTTGGGTCTCTAGTGGGGCGCTCTGGGGGCGCTCTTTTGCACTCTTGGGGCCGTCGTGGCCTCTGCTTGGGCTTCTCCTGGGGTTATTTTGGGCCATCTTCGAGCCATCTTGACGAGGCCTTGATTTGAAGCGAGACTGCGAGAAGGGCAAAGTCATTGATTGCTCTTCCGGTTTTGGACGGAGTTAGGCCTCGTGGGTGGATCCTTGGGAAGATCCGGGGCCACTTGGAGCCGTCTTGGGACGGTCGAGGCGCCTCTTGGAGGCATGTTGGAAGCTATCTTGAGCAATCTTGGGCTCTCTTGGGCTATCTGGGGCCCTCTTGGGGCCGGACGCTCTGACCCCTCGCGACCGGGCCCCAACACGGCACCACAGGGATCCCTTGCGACCAGGGTGTGCTACGGGTGCCAATCCCCTCGCGACGCAGGCCTCTGCCGATCCACTCGCGACCAGGGGTAGGGGGAGAGGTACACCTCTCCCCGAAGGGACAGAGGAGGCTCGAAGAAATATAGGTCCTCACACCACCTGCGCCCACAGGGCTGGTGGGATTCCCTCTTCCCTCATGCGCCAGAGTGAGGCTGTCAGACTCTGAGCAAAGAGCCCCCGACCCGCCTCGCCCACCCCGGCTCCCTCCGACTTTGTGGGCCCCGGAAACGGCAGGGCCGTTTTTTCACCGTTTCCGAAAAAGTGCCCCTTGAAAATGGAAGCGTCAAAAAAACGGCGGCCGGAAGCGGCAACAAAAACGGCTCCATGGAGATCGGAACCGGAGCCAAAACCGATCAAGAAACGGCGACGGAACCGGTAAACAAACGGCGTCGGAAGCGGCAAACAAACGGCAAAACGGAACCGGTAAACAAAAAACGGTCCTGTCGTTTCCAGGGCCCACTGAGCCCTCCGATGCCCGAGCGGCCCCAGCGCGGGCCCGCGGGCGCACGAGCGGCCGAGCTGTAGCGCGGGGAGCACCCCGCAGCGCCAGCAGGGCACGAGCCCGTGTGCGCCGGCCGTCGTCGCCTTCGAGGGCCCGCGGGCCAGCTGCCGCCCGCCGGCGAGCCGCCGCGTCGGCACTCTGACTCAGCACGCCGCGCAGCCGCCAGGCCCCCGGCGAGCCCGGTGGTCCGGGCGGTCCCCGAGGATCCGTGGGAGAAAACACAAAACACAGTGTCGGAAAAACACACACACACACATTGTGGGAAAAACACACACACACACGTGGGAAAAACATACACAATGTGTGTGTGTGTGTGTTTTTCCCACGTGTGCGTTTTTTTCCCACAGGCCCCCGGTGAGCCCGGTGGTCCGGGCGGTCACCGAGGATCCCGCCTCGCCGAGCCCCACCGGAGGAGCGCCACGACGTCACGCCCCGCCTCGCCTGCCCGGCACACCGCGGCCGCCGGGCTCGAACGAGTCCTGGGGTGATCCCCGGTGGGTGTCCGCATCGCAAGCTCCACCAGGGGGGCGTCGCGCCGTCCAGGCGTCACGCCGCTCGCAACCATGCAGGGCAGGCCTCAAGAGCCAGGATCTGTGACACACGTCCATGTCGAGCACCGAGTACACGAAGGATAGGCACCAAGAGCACGTAGCACTGCCACACATCGGCAACCCGCCTGAAGAGCTGGCATCGGCATCAGGCATCGGCAACATGCAGCAATCATCGAGCCAGTATCATGCATCAGACGTCAGGAACACGTGTCAATAGAGGGCAGGCGCAACATACACCAACGTCATACGCGATTAACAAGCACTACGATCACTCATCAATCTCATGCATCAGCCGCACACATCAGCAACATACACCAAGAGCAGACAACAATGACGTACTTACATCAAAAGCAGTAGCGAGCGTCAGCAATCATGCATCAAAACCCCTCTCGGCCGTCCTCCCTCCTTCCTTCTTCTTCTCGTCCCTCATCCTTGTCCTCCTCCTTCCCGCCCCTCGGCACGAGGACCTCTGCCTGCAAGCCGCCTCCTCCCCACCCCCGCCCTCCTCCTCGATGTTCCTCCCTCCTCCACGCCTTACCTCCGCACTTCATCTCGCCTCGCTCAGTCCCCCCTCCTGCCTCCTATTCCCCCCCCCCCTCCCTCGCCCCCTCCTGCCCCCCCCCCCCCTTCTGCTCGTCCTCCTGCTCAACCGCCACCTTCTCCTCCAGCGCACGCAGCTTCAATTCTCAGATCACGCATGACACAGCAGGGGTCCTGTGGGGATGCCAGGCCCGCCTCGACACCCGTCGGCGGACAGAGGATGCATCGGCGCCTCGGGGACTGGACGGGTGGGAGGGGTCGGATGTCAGCTGTGGCGCCAACGCACCTTGCTTGCCCCCCCCCCCTCCCCGCCTCTCCCCCCCCCGCCGATGCCCCCCCCGATGGAGCGGCGGCGCGCCCGTGGCGGCGGCGCGCCGCCCAGGCGGAGGCCAAGGAGCTGGCCGAGCCCGAGGACCAGGACGGCTCCGGCATCGGCAGCCGGAGCGCGTGGTTCTCCATCCTGCTGGCGATCGGACGCGCCCCCCCCCCCACGGGCGAGGTCTTGGGATCAGGGCGACTCAGCCTCGTCGCGCGCCCGTCAGATCGGTGTCCCGCTCCCGCTGGCGGCCAGGCGCTGGGAGCTGGAGAAGAGGGAGCCACAGACAGTGAGGAAATGCAGTGCAGCACGACGTGTTCGCCAACTTCTGCGTGTGAGCGAATGTGCAGGGGCGGCAGGATGGACGGGGCGAGTGCACACCCGATGTCCCGCCTCGTCTCTCTTGTCCCCCTCGTCCTCTGACTCCGCCTCCCCCCTCGTTCCAGTCCACCAACCTGCGTCTCCTCCTCGTCGTCCTTGTCCTCATCCCCCAGCCTTCCGCCGCCCCCTCCCCCCCCTCCTCCCCCTCTCTTCCTCCCCCTCTCCCTCTCAAGTCCCCCCTCCAGGTGACAGCCCTGGTCTTCTGCAGCCTCTCGCCGTTGATGACCGTCTTCGCATATGTGAACTTCTTCCTGTGCCGGCTCGCCCACTCGTGCCCCCCCCGGCGCGAGGAGAACAGCGGAGGGGGGGAGAAACAGGAGGAGGAGGAGGAGGAGGAGGAGAAGGAGGAAGAGGAGGAGGAGGAGGAGGAGGAAGAAGACGATGGAGGAGGAAGCGAAGGAGGCGGAGGAGGAGGAGGAGGAGGAGGAGGAGGAGGAGAGGAGTCAATAGTCCGACTGCATGGAGCAGGAGACCAAGGAGGAGGATGAGGAGGATGAGGAGGAGAAGGAGGAGGAGGAGGAGAAGGAGGAGGAGGAGGAGGAGAAGGAGGAGGAGGAGGCAGTGGAGGATGTGGGGGAGGAAGAGTCCGAGCAGGAGCAAGAGATCTAGGAGAAGGGGGATGAGGAGGAGGAGGAGGAGGAAGAGGAGGACCAGGATTCAATGAAAGGGTCGGAGGAGGAGAAGAGGGGGAGGAGGCGGAGGAGGAGGAGGAGGAGCAGGAGGATGAGGAAGAGGAAGAGTCGGAGGAGAAGGAGGAACAAGCAGAGCACAAGATGGAGGAGCAAAAGGAGAACTACCAGGATGAATGATAATGGTAAGATAAGGATGAGAAGGATGAAGAGGAGCAGGCAGTGCGCGAGATGGAGCTGGAGTAAAAACAGCCTCAGGTGGATGAATCAGTTTCCCTTGGCGCCGTCCTTGGCACAGCCCGCGCCAACAATACCCTAGGCCGACGCAACATTGATCATCTTACGTGGCGGGCACCCATCACAAGCAGTGCGCGACCGAATGGACTGCGCGGCCAGATGACGGCAACGGGTCAGGTTCGTAGATTGCCCAGAGATGTGCGTGTGTTGACGAGTCGCCACGTCTTTCTGCCGTGTAGGGCGACACGGATATGCGCACCATTCCTGGGTTCTCACACGGTTCGAACGAGCCTGGCACTCTTCTTCGGGTTGTGGCAGCCCTTTGTCTTCTCTAGCCCTGTACCGCCCACCTTGCAGCGGGGAGGGGGGCCCTGAACCACTCTTCCTCATCCGTCGCTCCCGCATCGTCATTCTCCCAGGGCCCCCCGAACCGGGCATTCGCTGGCTAGGTCTTTGACCGTTCCACCTGGAGGGACCCGAGAATGGAGGAGGTGTCTACCCACGGCCGCACTGTCCTTGGGCGCGCCAACGTCTTGGCTTATCAACGTCCCCTGGTGCTTCCTTCTCCTTCTCCTCCCGTCCCTTCTTTCCTGAAGAGGTACCTGATTGTGTTCGCCGAGACCAAAAAGGCCGACCTGGGGGGTGTCTTCTGGGTCTCGCAGCTCGAGCACGTGCAGGCGAGGCTTCGGTTTCTGTGTGCTGGGTGCTTGACGGAGTTTCGTGATGTTGGGCCGAGGGAAACGGAGATCACCGCCGCGCCCACAAGCCCAAGTATTGTCCCTGTTTCTTCTGCCCTCCTTCCTTCTCCAATCCTCCCCTCGGTTCTCTCCTGCCCATCCTCCTCCCCCCATCGTTCTTCTTCCCTGCCGCCCTCCTCTCATCTCCCCCTCCCATTCTCTACCTAATTCCTCCCTCGCTGCTCCTCTCGTCTTTCCGCTCGATTCCCCCTACTCATGTTCCCCCTGCACCTGTCATCTCCGTACAAGTTGAGGGTGCGGACCAGAGGTTGAGGACAGGAGATCGAACATGCGTCCGCACGACGAGGAGGAACAGCAGCAGTAGAGCAGGGAGGAGGAGCAGGAGGAGGAGGAGGAGGAGGAAGAAGCCAAGGAAGGGTGCAGTGGAAAAGAAAGCGCCGGTAGGACGAACAGGGACGCGTTTGGGTGACGGGGCAAGTCGGTGTGGTGCCACGTCTTTTGTGAGGAGATACGAGTGGCCAGGGCTACTTGCAAGCGACAGAGTGCAAGACGAACCGCGCACTTTCTACATCAAGCTGCCGCCAGCCAAGGCCGAACTCGCGCAGCCTGGAGCATGGCGCGCGGGGCGGCCAGGCGACGTCCAATCGGAGGCCACCGTCGGTCGCTGGCACCGCGGTGCACCGCTCGGGGTGGGCGGAAGCCGCGGCGGCAGAGAGCCAGGTGCGAAGCCGCGAACTGCCTGCGCCAAGCGGCCAGGATCCGGGAGGCACGCTGCAGAGTAGAATATGGCAATGCGGTCAGAGCTGCTGCCCATAACGTGCAGGTGGAGGGGGCCAAGGCCTACTTTTGGCGGTTCTCTTGGTGAAAAGACGTCGTGAGCGGGGGACGGACAAGCAGATGCTCGATAAGCATACCAAGCACCAACGAAAACAGGAGGGGAGTTCGGTCGTCTCACGGTCATGTGTGCTCATTTTGCCAACGGGCCAAGAATTGGGAATCGGTTGGCTTGTCATGGGCAGTTCAAAGAGGTGGGTCCTTACGACGAGACGACATCTTCGGGCTGACGCCTTGGCGGCGGGTGGGTCCCTGTGGCGAGCGACACCCAGGAATCGCCATGTCTGGGTTTGGGGCCACAAGGCGCCACACGGGTTAGCTAAGAAACCATATTCTCTTCGCCTAGTTTGTTGCTGGTCGTAAAATCTCACAGACACTCAGCTCGGGTTCAACGCCTGCCCCATCACCAGCACATGCTTGTAAATGACCCGCTGTTGCTGCCCGTCCTGCCGCCGAACCCTTTCTGTCATGAAACCCACGGGACCCGATGGCATTGAACAACGCGCGCAGAGGTTGGATAGGACCCCTGGTGGGCCAGGAAAGGCTCCAGCCAGGAAGGCGAGGGAAGCATTCGCAGCCACGTCCTCACCATTACCGTACGTCATACGACGGCCCAGGCACAGGAAATGCAAGCGTGCACGGGCGTGCAGGCAGCAAGCAGCTTCAGCGTATGCTGAGGATCCCTCCCGCAGTTGTGCAACCCCCATAGGGGAGAGACCTTCACCCCGCCGAGACGACTGAAACACAGTATGCAAAGACACCGCCCGGCATGGCGCACGCACGACGCGGCGCAGCCCTACCAGGTCACGACTGAGGCCCGCAACGTGTTCTCGTTTGGAGTCTGGAGAATCATAAGGTTGCCCCATAGATGGTGCCATCTATGACATGTGCTGTTATCTGACACTGACCGCGCCATGGGTGGGGCCGAGGGCCGCCTCAGGTTGCTGTTGATGGGCGACCGGCGATCCTGGCAGCGTCTCAAGGAGAGGGGGTCCGGCGCATCAGGGCCCCATGAGGCCGCACCAGGCGCCAGTGCGCTATGGACCTCGGCCGTGGGAGGTCCCCCCCCCCACTCCGCTCCACTCGGGTGCCGACAGGGGCCCGCGGGGAGGGGGGGATGCCCAGGCCTCTTCGAGGCGCGCTCCCTCTCCGCTCCGCTCGGAGGCCGACGGGGGGCCCGCGGCAGGGGGGGCTGCTCGGGCCTGGGCCTCTTTGGGGGCCAGAGTGTCGCACTGGAACGCCGAGGGGAGAGGACGAGGACGAGGCGGAGAGCGAGGACGACGACGAGGGCGAGGAGGAGGGGAGGGGGAGTCGGAGGAGGAGGGCGAGGAAGGTTGTGCAGCCACGCGCAGAGAGGGGCAGGCGGAGGGGGGAAAGCTTCTCAGAAGAACCCCTGCTTCTTAGAGGGCGCGGCTCTATAGCTGTAAGGCCTGCGCCCTCTAAGAAGCAGCCTCCGTCTAAGAAGCTTCCCCCCTCCCCCTACACCCTTCTGCGCGCCGCCCAGCTGTGGAGGAGGACGAAGAGGAGAAGGATGAAGACGGCACCCTCCCCCTACCCCCTTCTGCGCGCCGCTCAGCTGTGGAGGAGGACGAAGAGGAGAAGGATGAAGACGGTAAGAGGGAAGGGGAGCAGCAGCAGGAGCGCGGTGAGGATGAATGGGGACAGGAACAGCAGGAGCAGCAGCGCTGAAGCCTGCGCAGCGCATCTCCAGTACGGCGTCGTCGTGTACGTGTTCCTGATGATCGGGGTTCTCGCCAGCCGTGCATCGACGTGGGCCCCCCAGCTCTCCTGCGGGGGGAGGGTGCCTCGAGGCAGCCTTTTGGTGAGCGCTGCGCGCGCGCGTGCCTCGGAGCGCTGCTCGCGGGGCGGTGTTGCAGTCGGCCTGGCATCCGCTTGTGTGTTGGTCGGCAGCGAGGGCGGTCGTCGGCGCGTTCGGGAGGCCGGCGGGCCGCGCTGGGACTGAGGCACACTAGGTTTAAGTCGGGCTTGTCCCCCTACATGGTGATTTTCGACGACCTTAAAAACATCCAAACATAGTACAAACACAATCCAAACATAGTCAGTGTATTATTGTTTGAATATTTTTGTTTGCCTTTGGGGGGATTTTTGGTGTATGTATAATTCTTCCGTCGAGAATCCCCCTGTGTGGGGGGGCACGCCCGACTTAAGACTAGGTGCACATTGGAAAAGAGAATGGCGGCCGCGGAGGAGGAACGCGGGGGGGCCCAGGCGTCGAGGATCTTCGCCACGAGGCACACTTGGTATTGATCCAGCAGCGAGCAAACACGCTCGCGGAGGAATGGTGGGGAGAGGTGGAAGGAGGAGGTGAAAGAGTTTGATGGAAACGAGAAGCGCGGGTGGGATGGGTGTCAGGGACTGAGGGAAAGGAGATGCGCTGGAAGGTGGATCGAGAGAAGCTCGCAGGGCGAGGAGAGGACAGAGGAGAGGTGAAATGGGGCAGGGGATAGAGAAGACTCAGTGGAAGAGGGGCCTCCAGCATTCCCGCGCCCTGCCAGCACAGCGCCCTGGGTCACTTCGCGACGCCCGCGCCCTCCCTTGCCAGCGGCGGGCGACGCACAACGCCAGCGCCAGCGGGCGATGCGCTGTGCCTGTGCAGCGCTCGCGCCTGCTGCGCGGAAGCACCCAGCCACTGTGGGCGACCTGGGGGCGTCCGCTGGCCCCACGGGCAGGGGCGCGTCTTGAATTGCGGGCTGGGTGTCTCCCGACAGCGTGGCGGAGGGCCCCCGTAGAAGTACCACTGGCAGATCCCGGGTTGCAATACCAATCCGTGCAAGCGGCAGGAAGAGATTGATTGCTGCAGAGCGCCACCACCGTAGGCACGCTCGCGGCCATGTAGGCGTCCGTATTGTAGGTGGGGGTGGTTCGTGTGGCCAGCCCGCTCGTAGGAAAGTCTCGCTCCCGTGTTCCTACAAGTTGTCCTGCGCGAGTTCGAACGGGTGGGTCTCGGGCGGGCGGACTGACGAGCGTGGACTGACGAGCGTGCCGGACCAGCGGGACACTGCAGCAAGCGGGGCTGCAGGCAGCGCCCTCCCCACGGGCGGGTCGGGCGGGCGGGCCCTCACGAGCGCGTCGGGCGGTCGGGGCACCACAGCGGGCGGGGCCGCAAAAAGCGGGCGGGCGGGCTGCCCCCAGCGGGTCGGGTCGGGCGGGTCCTGCCGAGCGTGCCGGGCGGGCGGGCGGGACGTTCAAGCGTCAGAGCGTGAATTACCTACCCCGCTTTCGCTTCCAGGCAAAACCAAGTCATACCACGCGCCTCCTCATCAAGCGGCCTGACCAGTACAGGCCGTAGTTTGGCATCGCTTGGTATCTCTTGGAAGCGAGGGTGGTCAAAAGCGAGGTAGGTTTGTTTGCCCCCTAAAGCGGACGGGGGGGTGCAGCCGAGCGAGCGGGCGGGCGGACCCCAACGGGCGAGTCGGGCGGCCCGCGGGCGAAGGAGGGGTCTTCCCCGAGTTTCAGGGCGGGGCCAGTCGCGGGGGGCGGGGGGGGGGGCTAGTCGCGGGGAGGGCGGGGGCAGGCGCGAAGGGGAAGGCGGGCCAATGCGAGGGCGTTGCCCCCGGGGGCAGAGTGACGGGCGAGGGGGAGCGCGGGAGATCGAGGGCAGTGGGGCGTGGGGAGACGCTTGCCTGGAAGGGTTGTTGGAGCCACCTCAGCGGATGGAGGAGGGGGGGGAGGAGGAGGAGGAGGAGGAGGAGGAGGAGGAGGAAGATGGGGAGTGGGTGTGTCTTGGTCTCACGCAGCCGGCGTGGAACCTCCGTGCGCTAGTGGCCCTGAACGTTCCGATCGCACACACAGCTAGAAGTAGTGAATCTCAGTGGAGCGGCAAGCAGTCGCGCTTAGCTCCAAGACCGCTGTGTGAGTAATTCCTGCCTTGCGCTGGATGAGAAAATTATGTTGCTCAGCTATGTCCAGGCATTGCGCCGCAGTCTCCTCAGCGGAAGCTTTGCGCACGCGCAGCTTGAGAGTTGAGATGACTCGCACTTCAGCCTAAAACAACTGCTGACTTGCTTGATCAACTTCAGACAAACTGTTCAACGTCCTCGAGCCTGAGAATCCCGGCAGGAGGGTAGCATGTTGCACCTCGCTATTTCACGCCAGTGTTTACAGCACAGGGGTGTCATGACGATATTTGGTCACCCACAGGCTTGCAAAAGGATCGGTTGATAGTTCTAGCCTAATGTAGCGCACGCTCAGGGGACGGGTTCTCTAGCACTTGCGTTGCTCCCATAGCTGCAGCTCGTGCTCCGCTGCAGTGAAAGAGTCTTGGTTGGTTACACCACGTATGCGTTCGATACGTGGTATTGGTTAGGTAGCTGATCTGTCACGGAATTCGTGTCAATCGAGTTATGATTTTCCGAACACAATTTAAAACAGGGGCGCCCCATGGCAGCACGGTATACCACATTGTTTGTTCACGAATTGGAGGCACACCACGGCCATTTCAGTGAGCAGGCCGAGGACCAGTTCAGCCGAAATGAGTTCCACAACCTCGGAGGTACTGACCATCATCATGTTCCTGACTCAGTTTTTGGACCCGTTATAATCGTAACCTCCCTCATCATCTTCATGATCATTCCCCCTTCTCCTCGACCGCACCCTTTGTCATGCCAAGGCTTGGTCCGTGTACAGTTGCCGCGCCCTCGCTTGCCGTCTGGTTGTTCATCCGCCTGAAGTTCAGCCGCTCGATGTGTTGGGTGGACCTTCCATTCGAGGACAGGGCGGGGGAAAAGGATGCTGGCGAGGAGGAGCAGGGCGGGGACAAGGAGAGGAATGACAAAAACAACTAAGGAGGGGTGGTGGGGCCGGGGCAAGAGGAGGGTAGGGAAGAGAGGGTGGGACGTCGTCCCCAGGCTGAGCCGGCCTCTCGTCCTCGCACTCCTCGCGACACGCCCCGATTCCTCCATGCGGCTTCATTGGGAAGCGGGTCTCTGGGAAGAGCCTCTGGGCCGATGTACCGGAGTCTAGCAGACAATTTGCAAGCTGAGTGGGAACGGAGGCCATCGAGGAGGTATGGTAGGAAGAGGCGGAGGAGCGGTGGGAGAAGGTGGAAGGAGGGACGAAGTGAGAGCGCGAGGAGGAGGAGGACGAGCAGGAGGAGCAGCAGCAGCAGCAGCAGCAGCAGCGCGATACGGAGAATGTGCAGCCCAGCAGAGAATTTGTATCGGCTATCGGGAACGGGAGGAGCTGGAGGAGCAAAAGACGGGGGAGGAACAGGAGACGCAGGACGGGTGGGCTGCCGGAGAGGAGGCAAATTGAGTGATTCAGGGATTCGGGGAGCTCGCGCCTCACCAGCCCGTCTCTCCACCAGGGGTCGCATTGCAGTTCTGGCTCTCGCCCCGAGGAGGTGGTCATGGCAGGCAGCGTGGACACGCAGCCCAAGGAGGAGGACACTTGCGCGGAGGGGGTCAGGTTCGGAGCGGGAGGTCGGAGGGGTGCATCTTAGAAGAGAGCGATTCGAGCGAACGAACGAGATAGGAACAGCGATAGAGAGAGAGATAAGGAGGGAGAGAGAGAGAGAGAGTGAGCTAAATATTGAGAAAGGGAGCGCAGAGCGAGAGCGAGCGACACATGTATGTACGCACTGGCAGACATAAATTTATACATATAGGGGGAGAGAGAGAGAGAGAGAGAGCGAGAGAGAGAGAGAGAGAGAGCGAGAGAGAGAGAGAGAAAGAGAGAGATGAAACGCGCGATCGGTCATGTCACTGGGTCCGTGCAGTGGCAGGAATGGCGATGATGAATAAGAGAAGGGTTCGGTGTAGGCAGCTCGAGCGTTATAGCGGGCGCTGCGCCCATTCACACCTTCACTCCCACAGCATTGGAGCCAATCTCTGAGACCCGCAGGTTCTCGAAATTTCCGAGTTGGTTCCATCCTGATGTGTCCTCATCTTGCCTTCGTCTTCACACTTGTGGAGGCGAATAGCCCCCCTGGGGCCGGGTCCTCAGAAGTCCAGGACGGCTCGCCGTCGCTGTTCACTTTTGACGTTGCCCAAGCATGGATCTGATGATCGCTTCAACTATGTAACAGAGCTAGCGAAGGCGAAGCAGCCTAGAAAACAACAAACAAATGCGCGACGCGCAGTTTCACGCCGTACAAGGAAGAATTACGGCAGTGAGGACCGAGATGTACGATTAGCCCGCAAGGGCACAGAGTAGAGCGTGCAGCAAGTCGGAGTTGGGCGATAGACCAATCACTAACACACTCATCAAACCTCAGACCGACGACTGAACCGAATATTTGTTGACCTCCATCTCCTCGTCGTCCTCCTCATGCCCTGCTGATCCCGATGCTCCCTCCCTCCTCCTCGGCGTCGTCGTCATCCCCCTGACACTGTCCCTCGTCGCTCCCAGTCCCGATCGGGCTCCCCATTTCCCCTGCCCCTCCTGCCCCTGCCCCTCCTCCTCGTCCACCCCATCCTCCTCATCCTCCCTGCCCTACCCCTGGCCTTGGTACGCATCAGGACGCGCAGGGAGAAGGAGGGTGGAGCCCGCACTCCCTCTGATTCAGGGGGCTCAGGCTACAGTCGGGGCCCTGAAGAAGGAGCCCTTTTCGTTGGGGAGGGGCTCCGCGTTCCTTGAGTGTTTCACAGCTTGCCTCAGGCTTCCCTTATGTTTTCGACAGGAAATCGAAGGTTACCTTATGGAAAAAGGGGCCTCGTTCCCTTATTTAGGGTTCCTTAGGTCAACGCCCCGACTGTACCTCCCCAGTGGGGCGTCTTCTGAGGCGTGCTGGCAGGCCCCTCGCTGCCAGTGCCAGAGCTGCTGAGGTGACGCCCCGTCGATGGCGAGCACACATCCTGGGCCTTCCCTCGTCGCTCTGCTCCTCCCTACCCGCTCCGCCCTCTAGTAGGAGAAGGAGGAGGAGGAGGAGGAGGAGGAGGAGGAGGATGGTGATGATGATGATGATGAGGAGGAGGAGGAGGAGGAGGAGGAGGAGGAGGAGGAGGATGGTGATGAGGAGGAGGAGGAGGAGGAGGAGAGCCCCAGGAGGGCCCATCACATGGGGCGTCATTCTGACGAACACTTTCCCAACTTGGCACTGAGGATAAAAGCTCAGTCCAGACACATCTGTCTTTTAGAGGGTCGCGTGGATGAATGCCCGGAATGGAGGCGGTCAAGGAGGATGCCCCCTTTGTGACTCGGAGATTCCAGCCCCCGCCCCTCGCGAAGCATCGGTTGAGCATGCTGCTGGGGTGCACCGTCGAGTTTCATTGGTAGGTCGACCCCGCCAAATCCAGGGTACCCTGGTGTCCTGTGCTTAGCGGCCTCTGCCTTCGACCCTCCCGTGGCAGTGTGGCCCTCGGAAGGGTCTCGTGCCTTCTCGCGCGTCCTCTCCAGCCAAACGTCACTGTCAGTGCCGCCCTACCCGCTGCGTGGACAGCCCGCGCGGACGCAGCGGTCGGCTCGAGTCGTGGCCGGCCCGCGGCTGTCCCCCCACGCGCCCCGCTCCCGGCTCTTCGCTGCATCTTCACGTGCCAGGGCCAACCACGGCGGCGGCGGCGGCGCCGCGCGCGCGGTGCTCCCCATGCAACAGTTTGAGACAGATATCCGTACGGTAGGTTTGCGTCGTGTCGACCAGCGGCGACCCCAGCGCGGGCGTTCAAGGTTGAACGCCGCCGGCGACCCAGAATCGATCGATGTTGAACGATCGGACGTTGCGGCAGCGGCCGATCGTTCAAGGTTGAACGATCCCTGCGGTGTCAAAAACCAACGCTGGGGTCGGCACGACACGAACCTGCCGTATCCCTATGTTTGGCATCACCTTCATGCCCAGTACAGTCGGGGCCCTGAAGAAGGAACCTTTTTCGTTGGGGAGGGGCTCCGCGTTCCGTAAGTGTTTTACACCTTGCCTCAGGTGTTCCTTGTGTCTTCGACAGGAAATCGAAGGTTAACTTATGGAAAAAAGGGGCCTCGTTCCTTATTTAGGGTTCCTTAGGTCAACGCCCCGACGGTATCCCGGAGTCGAGGCGCCTGGCAGTTCTTGTACTTGCCGCACCCTGGTCCGTTGGCCGCTTTATCACTCCCGCTTGCTGCCTCTCGGGCCGTCTTGGGGCCCTCCTGGGGGCCTCGTGGGCCGCGGCCTCTTGGACGATCCTTGGGCGATCTTTGGGGGCTCTTGGGCCGTCTCGGGCCGTCGGGAGGCCGAAAAGAAGCGAATGCTAAAATCATTCAAAACCTCAGGAACATCAATGATTTAGGCCTCGTCGGGCCTTCCTGGATGACCTCTGGGAGGCCCCTTGGACCGTCTTGACCTCTTGGGCCGTCTTGGAGGCCTCTTGCAGGCCTCTGGGGCCGTCTTGGGCCGTCTTGGATGCTTCTGGGGCGAACTTGGAGCCATCTGGAACCCTCTTGGGCCGTCTTGAAGGCCATCTTGGGCCATCTGGACCCCAAGATCGACATTTGTTGAGGATGTCACTAGCGAGACGGCCGTCGGGGAGGCACGGCAATCGCCTTTTCTGGGAGGCCGGCGGCACGGACCAGAGGCCCAGGGGAGAGTTCCTTCAGAAAAGTAGCCAAAAGAAAACCAGTAGGGTCTAGCACGCCAGGCTCCCCTGTGATGCAGGCGGCGGCGGTTCGAAGGCGCCTACGGCGAATCACCGCCGCCCCTTGCCTATTAGAATCGCCCCTGTTGCCGAGCGTTGTGGCAAGAGCTCTGCCAAGCTATCGGGCCATGTATTCCCGCAGCCGTTGTAGAAACCCTTCGGGGAACACTTGGGGGAGGATGGCGGGTAAGATCAGGAGGGGGAGGCGGAGGGGGAATCGTGGGAGCCTCTCGGGACACTCTTGGGGCCTCCTGGGAGCTTCCTGGGAACCTCTTGGAGGCATCTTGGGGGCCTTCTTGGGCCTCTTGAGGGCCTGTGGGGACTTCTCGGGGGCTCTTGGGCCGTCTTAGGGCATTCCTGGCCCGTCTGGCGCCGTCGGAAGCCTTGGGGGCCTCTCTGGGCCGGCTTGGGGCCCTCTTGGGGTGCTCCAGGGCCGTCTTGGAGGCCATCTTGGACGTCTTGGAGGCCTCTTGGGGCCCTCTTGGGGCCGTCTTGGGGGCCCTCTTGGGCCGTTCTGGGGCCATCTTGGAGGCCTCTTGGGCGATCGTGGGGGGATTTTTGGGCGCTCTTGGGCCGTCTCGGGCCGTCGGTAGGCCGAAAAGAAGCAAGCGCCCAAATCCTTCAAAAACCTAAGGACAATCACTGATGTGGCCTCTCCTGGCCTTCCTGGAGGCATCCTTGGAGGCATCTTGGGCACTTGGGCCATCTTGGACCGTCTTGGTGGGCTCCTGGACCGTCTGACTCCGTCGGAAGCCGTCTTAGGGGACCTCGCTGGGCCGACTTGGGCCCTTTTGGAGTGCTCCAGAGACGTCTTGGAGGCTTATTTGGGCGTCTTGGAGGCCTCTTGGGGCCCTCTTGGGGCCGTCTTGGGGGCCTCTTGGGCCGTTCTGGGGCCGGCGATCTTGGGGGCTTCTAGGGCCGTCGGAAGGCCGAAAAGGAGCAAGCATTTGAATCTTTCAAAAACAGAGGGAGCATCAATGATTTTAGCCTCTTCGGGCTCTCCTGGAGGACCTCTCGGAGGCCTCTTGGGCCGTCTATGAGACCTATTGGGCACCTCTTGGGCAGTCTTGGGCCGTCTTGGAGGCTTCTTGGGCGGACTTGGCAGCATCTTGGACCCTCTCGGGCCGTCTTGGAGGCCATGTTGGATCATCTTGGGCGAACTTGAAGGCTATCTTGTTCATCTTGGAAGCCATCTGGGAGCCATCTGGAGCAGGAAAACCATTTGGAGCCATCTCCGGAAGAGCCTCTCGGGTGGCCGGCGGGTTGGGCCGGAGCCCCAGGGGAGAGTTCTTTGGGCAGAAGAGCCAAAACCAAAACCGAAAGGATCTAGCACGCCAGGCACCCCTTTGACAAGCACAGAGGGCGGCGGATCGAAGACGCCTACGGCGAATCACCGCCGCCCCCTGCCTTTGTGGAAGCGCCTATGCGGCCGAACGTTGAGGCCAGACCTGCCAAGCTATCGGACCATGTGTTCCCCGAATCGGTTTGGAAAGCCTTCGGGGAACACGTGGGCATCTTGAAGGTCATCTTGGCCGTCTAGAGGCCATTTTGACCGTTTCGGGCCTTCTTGGAGGACGTCTTGGAGGGCTCTTGGGACCGTCTTGGAGGCCATCTTGAGCGTCTTGGAGACCTCTTGGGCCGTCTTGGGGGCCTCTTGGGGCCGTGTCTTGGGCCTCTTGGGCGATCTTTGGGGGCACTTGGGCCGTCTCGGGCCGTCGGAAGGCAGAACAAAAAACAAATGCCACAATCCTTCAATAACTAATGGGAAATCAATGATTTTGGCCTTTTTCAGGCCTTCCTGGAGACCCTCTTGGAGGCCTCTTGGGCCGTCTTGGGCCATCTTAGGGCCATGATCGGCCGTCTTGGTGGGCTCCTGGTCTGTCTGACGCCGTCGGAAGCCGTTTGGGGGGCCTCTATGGGCCGACTTGGGGCCCTCTTGGAATGCTCCAGGGCCGTCTTGGATACCATCTTGGGGGCCTCTTGGGGCCGTCTTGGGGCCCTCTTAGGCCGTTCTGGGGCCATCTTGGAGGCCTCTTGGGCGATCTTTCGGCGATCTGTGGGGGCTCTTAGGCCGTCTCGGGCCGTCGGAAGGCCGAAAAGAACGAAATGTCAAATTCCGTCAAACACCTAAGGAAAATCAATGTTGTTGGCCTCTTCTGGCCTTCCTGGAGGCCCTCTTGGGGCCACTTGGGCCGTCTTGGGCCAGCTTCGAGCCAACTTCGGCCATCTTGGTGGGTTCCTGGCACGTCTGACGCCGTCGGGAGCCGTCTTGGGGGCCTTTCTAGGCCGACTGGGGGCCCTCTTGGGTCACCTCGGGGCCGTCTTGGAGGCCATCTTGGGCGTCTTGGAGGCCATCTTGGGCGTGTTGAAGGCCTCTTGGGCCATCTTGGGGCCCTCTTGGAGCCGTCTTGGAGGCCATTTGGGCCGTCATAGGGGGCCCTCTTGGGGGCCTCTTGGGCGATCTTGGGGGCTTCTTGGGCCGCCTTGAGCCGTCGGAATGCCGGGAAGAGGCAAATTCCAAAATCGTTGTTAAACAACTTTATGAAAAAAATAAATGATTTCGGCCTCTTCGGGCCTTCCTGGAGGACCTCTTGGAGGCCTCTTGGGCCGTCTGGGAGGCCTCTGGGGGGCCTCTTGGGCCGTCTTGGACTCTCTTGGGCCGTCTTGGAGGCCGTCTTGGACCATCTTGGGCGGACTTGGAGGCCATCTTGGGCCATCTTCGCGATTTGTTGAGGATGTCCCGAGCGAAACAGCCGTTTCAGGCATTGCCCGCCGCAGTTTTCGGGTGGCTGGCGGGACGTGCCCGAGCCCCAGGGGGAGTTCTTTTGGAAAAAGAACCGAAACCAAAACCGAGAGGATTCAGCACGCCAGGCACCCCTGCGATGAATCGACAGGGGGCGGCGGATCGAAGACGCCTACGGCGAATCACCGCCGCCCCCTGCCTTTTTGGAAGCGCCTATGTGGCCGAACGTTGAGGCCAGACCTGCCAAGCTATCGGACCACGTGTTCCCCGAATCGGTTTGGAAAGCCTTCGGGGAACACGTGGGCATCTTGAAGGTCATCTTGGCCGTCTTGGAGGCCTCTTGGGCAAGCTTTGGGCGATCTTTGGGGCTTTTTGGGCCGTCTCGGGCCAGCTTCGAGCCAACTTCGGCCATCTTGGTGGGTTCCTGGCACGTCTGAAGCCGTCGGAAGCCGTTTGGGGGGCCTCTATGGGCCGACTTGGGGCCCGCTTGGAATGCTCCAGGGCCGTCTTGGAGGCCATCTTGGGCGTCTTGGAGGCCATCTTGGGCGTGTTGGAGGCCTCTTGGGCCCTCTTGGGGCCCTCTAGGGGCCATCTTGGAGGCCACTTGGGCCATCATGGGGCTCTCTTGGGGGCCTCTTGGGCGATCTTGGGGGCTTCTTGGGCCGTCTTGAGCCGTCGGAGAGCCGAAAAGGCGCAAATGCCAAAATCCTTCAAAAACCAATGGAAAATCAATGATTTTGGCCTCTTCGGACTCTCCTGGAGGACCTCTTGGAGGCCTCTTGGGCCGTCTGGGAGGCCTCTGGGGGGCCTCTTGGGCCGTCTTGGGCCGTCTTGGACTCTCTTGGGCCGTCTTGGAGGCCGTCTTGGACCATCTCGGGCGGACTTGGAGGCCATCTTGGGCCATCTTCGCGATTTTTTGAGGATGTCCCGAGCGAAACGGCCGTTCTTGGAGGATTTTTTGCGGTCGTTGAGCACGTTTGGGGAAATTCCGGGTGGCCGGCGGGTTCTGCCGGAGCCCACTGGGGAGTTCTTTTAGAAAAAGAACCAAAACCAAAACCTGAAACGTCCAGCACGCCGTGCACCCCTGCAAGCAGGGGGCGGCGGATTTGCTGGCCTCTGGCTCATCCCGCCACCGTGCCTGGACTGTGGGTCTGAATCAGAGGCCTGTTGGATGCTTATTGGGGTCGCTTGGGGACCTTCTGGGGAGCCTGGAGGCCTCCTAGGGGGCCGCATTGGGGGCCTCTCGGAGCTTTCTCTGAGCCTCTTGGAGGGCCTCGTGGGTCCTCGTGGGGGGCCTCTTGGGGGCCTCTTGGGAGCCTCGGGCCCCCCCTGGGGGCGCAGGGGTCGAAACCTCACTCCGAGCTCCCCCTCGTGGGGCCCTCGTGGGCTTCTCTCTTGGCCGTCTTGGGGCCGTCGGCCGACCGGCATGCGAGCCGATCAGGGACCCAGCCGCCGAGCAGCGGCCGAGCAGCCGAGACGGGGGAACGAAAGGAGCAGGAGAGGGAGAAAATTCGTTAAGCTCGACGTCTGGCAAGTCCCACTTCGATTGAAAAACTCTCGCAAAAACCTCGGCCTTGTCTTCTCTGCTGACGGCCTAGGAACCGTCGCTTCGCCTCAAGGCTGAGGAAACCGGCTTAGCCGAGCGATGCATCAATTGTTCGGCGGATTGGCTGAGCGGCTGCTCGGTCGATGATCGGCTGGGTTCGGATAGCACCCCAGGGCGCCTTCGCCCTGGGAAGTCCACCACACCAGACGTTGTGGCTGCTTCCAAAGGCGCATGGGCTGAACAATGCACCATTCAGTATGGCCTGTGCCTGGCGTGTTCCCTCTGGGACCGCGCCCCCTGCTCCAGTCCATGGCGCACCTTGTCCTGCGCAAGATCTTCGGCACCGCCTGTTTTCTGAGCCCTCTGGCCGCCTGAGGCCCCGCCCGCCCGCGCCCTGTCTCCCCAAGTAGGGCTACCCGCGCCCCGTTTAGCTCTTGACCGGAAGGGGCCCGCTCCCGACCCGCAGACCAAAAAAGTGCCTGGCGTGTCTCAAGCCCAGCACGGGCCCCGAACAGTTGGGAATGTGGCCGACCTCGTATCGTGGTTCCTGGGTCCCTTTTGCCAGGGTGGGGTAGGGGGGCAGGGTTCGCACCAGCACCTCTACCCTGACTTGTTCGAGCTGCCCGTGATGGGGCTGGGCTCACCGACGCTGGTGAACAGCCTCTGGGCTCAGGGCCGTTTCAGCTCGAGCCTCCTCCTGCCTTTCACCTCTGCTCCCTCGTGCCATTCCTCCCGCTGGATCGGAGCAGGGTGGATAGCGTCTGCCCCCCAGGACTCCTCCTGCGACCGCTACCGGCAGCCCGAGCTCTTCGATGCGACGAGCAGTCCGAACGGCGACGCGTCGAAGGGGTCTCGTTGGCGCCGTTGGCACAAGGCTGGGCAAGGGAGGTGGAGGGCTTGCCGGCAGCCAGAGCTCTTCAATTCTACGAGCAGTCTGAATGACGACGCATCGAAGGGGAAGCTGATCACAACAAGTCGCACATCAAGGGTGTAGGTAGCATCACACATTAGGGAGAGTCGATTGGCGAGTATTGTTGGCGTCGTTGGTACAAGGCTGGGGAAGGGCAGTAGATGGATGAAGGAGGCCAGACAGGTCCTCACTGAACAGCCTGTTATTCCTGCGTTTCTTCTTCGACTTTGCCGCTGGGCCCAGCCTAGGCGTGTGCCCTGGCGGTCCCCGTCCTGGGTCGCAGCTGTCCTCGCAGTCAGAGGCCCCACGATACGACTTGTTCAAACATGGACCTCCAGAGGTCTCGGCCCATTCCCTATGACCAGCGTTTCATCCTGAGCCGTGTCTGCAGTCCCGACGGCCCAGGGGGCCCAGTCAGGGCTCGTGGATGCCGGCAGTGGCCAGAGGCCTTGCGCCGTGTTATTTTCACGACGCGAGGGTGTCCGGGCAGCCTTGTCACCTTCACAGGGTGTTCCTGTCCGACTTGTTGCGCCGATGCGTCTTCGTGGCGCGGGTACGTCAGCCCACGCTCTCGACGCGGGCCAGCGATTTACGCACAGTTGCCCCACCCACACAGGAGGTGGCGGTGGATGAGGAGGGAGGGGGGAGAAGGAGGAGGGGGAGGATGAAGAGGGAGGGGGAGGAGGAGGAGGAGGAGGAGGAGGAGGAGGAGGAGGAGGAGGAGGAGGAGGAGGGGAGGAGGAGGAGGAGGAACGAGAGGAGGAGGAGGAATGGGAGAATGAGGCGGAGGAGGAAGTGGAGGAGGAGGAAGGGGAGAAGTAGGAGGAGAAGGGGGAAGGGGAGAAGGAGGAGGAGGAGGAGGAGGAGCAGCAAGAGGATGATGATGATGATGGTGATGATGATGATGATGATGATGATGATGATGATGATGATGATGATGATGATGATGATGATGGAAATGATGATGGAAATGGTGATGATGATGATGACGATGACGATGACGATGCCGACCCCGATGCCGATGACGATGCTGATGATGTTGATGATGCTGATGATGATCATGATCATGATGATGACTATGATGAAATGGTGATGCTGCTGCTGATGATGATGGTGATGGTGATGTTAATGGTGGTGATGGTGATGGTGATGGTGATGGTGGTGGTGATGATGGTGGTGATTGTGATGGTAATGGTGATGAATAGTATGATGGTGATCATGCCGCTGGTCATGATGATGATGCTGATGATGTTCATGATGGTGGTGGTGGGACTGATGATGATGGTGAAGATGATGGTGCTGATGACGAGGATTCTGAGTATGATGATGATGGTGATGATGATAGTGGTGATGCTGGTGATGTTGATGATGATGACGATGATGATGATGTTGATGATGATGACGATGATGATGATGATGATGATGCTGGTGATGGTGATGATGATGATGATGCCGATGATGATGATGATGATGATGATGATGATGATGATGATGCTGATGATGATGATGCTGATGATGATGATGATGATGATGATGATGATGATGATGATAATGATGATGATGATGATGATGAGCAGGCGGAGGACGGGGCGGGAAGGGCTAAGGCGATGAAGAGGTTGGGCGAGAAGGTTTTAGCAGGAGGAGGAGGCCCAGAAGAGGAGGATGAGGAGGAGGAGGAGGAGGTCAGGCGGAGGAGGCGGGGGAGGAAAACGAGGGCAGAGGAGGGAGGGGGAGTTGGACTTAGCAGGTCCATTGGAGATTTCCAGATGAGCCACCCGTGCTCCCCCTGATAGGGCTGCCATGTGGCCGGCCAGTGGCCCCATGGTGGGCCTCATCACCACCACCATCATCAGCAGCTTCATCATCATAGCCGTCCGCGTGGGCATCATCTTGCTCCCTTCTCCTGAACTCACGAGCCCGCTCCTGCTCCGCCTCCTTCCTCATCCGCCTCTTCAGTGGCCATGTTTGGTTCTTGTGGGTCGGAAGGCTGGACAGCGCCTGCCCCAGCCCAGACACTTGCTCTAACGAAGGCTTGGCCTGTGCGGCTAGACAAGGATGTGAAAAGCAGCAGAAGATGGTAGGAGGTTGGAGTTACGAGTCCGATGTTGGCGATGGTGGTGCGCAGGCGGATGAGAAGGAGGAAGAGGAACACGAGGAGGCGAATGACGACCAGGTAGGATGTAGGAGTGCGAAGGAGAATAGAGGCCGACGGAGTAATAGAACGAGTCGGGTTGAGGTAAGTGATACCATTTTGCATGTAGATTCCTTGGGCTGTTTTCGATGGAGCAGCGGATGTACGGACGTCCGTGCGTAGCATTGCAGAGGGAGGAGAAGGTTGTTCTGAGAAGAGAGGCAGTTCTAGCGGGTTGCCGACGATTCATGCAGGCCAGCGAGGGACGGTATTTGGATGTGTGGCGTGCATGTTACCAATGCCCTCCCTTCTCACATTCTTTCCGTCCTCGGCGCTCCTTCCTCTCTCCCTCCATCGCCGAGTCCTCATATTCGTCCCTCTCATCCCATCTCATTTCTGCGATCTTCGGCTTCAGCTGTGAGAGCACTACGAAGCGCGCTCGGGCCAGCTCACCCGAATAGTTCTGTCCCGTTCACATGGGGCCTCCCTCCCTCCCGATCAGGGTCCCCTCTCCTCCCTCCTAATGCTCTCGCTCCTGTACATCCGCATCTCGTCGTGCTGCAGGTGTTGTTCCGGTGCTGTTCCTTCCGCTCGTGCCCATCCTCCTCCTTGCGCCCACCGCCCCTCCTTCTCCTCCTCCTCGTCCTCCCTCCCCTATCCCTGCCCCGCCTGCCCTTCCATCTCTTTTCTTGCCCCCCAGACGTGTCAGTAGGGCGGACAGGACGCTTCCATTGAGGTCACCTCACCGCTTACAAGCGTAAGGGTTGAAACTTGCAATAGATTCACGGATGGAGGGGTGGCCGATGTCGAAATGCGAGACATTTTCACGGATTGAGGAGGTCGTTTTCAAAATGGTGTTTCGTTTTAGTGCCGCGAGCATTCGCAGTTTTACGGATTAAAGGGGGGTCGTTTTCAATATGTGGTTCTCGCCTTGGCGCCGCGCAACAGCTTCGCGGATGGAGGGCGGCTCCTTTGAAACATGTGGCTCTCGCCAGTGCACAGTCGTCCTAACAATTTGTTTGCAGAACAGAATCAAGGATGGAGGACAGGTCGCTATCGCAATGTGGCTCTCGCCTAAGCGCCCAGAACATTCGGTTGAGACATTTGCAACAGCTTCATGGATGGAGGGGTGATCGTTTTCAAAAGTTGGTTCTCGCCCTAGCGCAGTGCACATTTCTCCTAGCAGTTTGCAGAACAGCGTCCAGGATGGAGGCCAGGTAATTTTCGAAATGTGGCTCTCGCCTTAGCGCCGCGAGCATTCCTCTTTAGAAAGTTTGCAACAACTTCACGTATGGAGCCGGGCTCGATTTCAACATGGTATTCTCGCCCCAGCGCCGCACACATTCGTCGCATAAGTGTGCAGCAATTTCAAATATGGAAGGGGGGCGTTTTCAAAATGTGATTCCCGCCTCAGCGCCGCGTGAATTCGATGTAAATTATTGCACTAGCTTCGGGGATGGAGGGCGGTTCATTTTCAGGCGGGGGCTTTCGCCTGACCGCCGCGTGCAGTCATATCAAAATCTTGCGCATCGCTCGTTTTCAAAATGGGGCTCTCGCCTCAGCGCCGCGCGCATCCGCTGTTAATGCAACATGGAACAGGATGGAGGACTGTCCTTTTTGACAGTGCAGCTCTCGCCGGAGACCTCGATGAATACAACGACCGAGCACTTCAACCCACGTTGCGCTGCACGTGGCTATGGCAGCTCATTTTCAAAGTGGAACTGTCGCTTGGCTCTTCCGCGAGATTCGTGACTACAAGTGTGCTCCTGTGCAACAGTTACACTGGTTGGGGGGTGGGCGGTCCTTCTCCAAAAGAAGGATATCGTGCGACACCTCGTTGAACATTATGATTTATCTGTTTCGCGTTCCTGGAAACGCGCCAAAAAGACACAAGGCACGTCATTTTCAAAGCGGGGCCCTCGTCAACATGTTTGGGCCCACCGTGCTGGTCTTTCAGAAGGGGTGTTCTTTGTAGTGGAAAGGTGCTGGCAGGGGCGTATGAGGAGAAGACCTGGGACGCGAGGGTGCATTGCAGCATCGCTTACGCATCGATGGCTACTTCTTTACCCTGGTCCTCCTCCTCCTTCGCCCCTCCTAGCCTCTTCCTCCCTGCGTAGCTCCTGCAAGGTCGCCCGAGGGGAGCAAATCACGTCCCGAGGACGATACAATATAGCGGCGTTTCTGATGGGTAAGCTTCCCCAGCAGAGAGCGCGAGCCACCGAGGGGCGAGTCAGCGCGAGGAGATCGCTCTGGCCCCTCGGTGTTTCAGGCCCAGCCAACTCATACAGTGAGCGGCTTGAGTAAGGAACACTTACTTTTCAAAAGGGGCTCGGTCGTTCCTTAAGGCTTGCATGCGTTACGTATCCTTCCTTATGCGTTTGTGTTATTACTTATCGTTCCTTATGCTTTTTTCCTTGGAAAACAGGGGCTTCGTTCCTTATCTATCGTTCCTTAGGGCAGGCCGATGACTGTAGTGTGGTCGGAGCCTCCTTTGTTTCTCTCCCCCCGCGCCCTCGCGCTCCTCCAGTCAAAATTGTACACAGGGGCGCCACCCTAGACTGTGGCTGCCCAGCCAACTCATAGTGTGGTCGGAGCCTCCTTTGTTTCCCTCCCCCCGCGCCCTCGCGCTCCTCCAGTCAAAATCTACACAGGGGCGCCACCCCAGACTGTGGCTGCCCAGCCAACTCATAGTGTGGTCGGAGCCTCCTTTGTTTCCCTCCCCCCGCGCCCTCGCGCTGCTCCAGTCAAAATCTACACAGGGGTGCCACCCCAGGCTGTGGCTGCCCAGCCAACTCATGGTGTGGTCGGAGCCTCCGTTGTGTCCCTCCCCCCGCGCCCTCGCGCTCCTCCAGTCAAGATCTGCACAGGGGCGCCACCCCCAGACCGTGGCTGGCCCTCCGGGCCAGCCGCGCCGCCTTCCGCAGTGCCGGCGGCTGGCCGCAGGGGGGCAGGGGGGAGTGCTGGGAGGTGGCGTGGCCGGGCAAGTGGTCGAGGTGGCGCTGACCGCAGAGGAGGCGTGGGGCCTGGCGCGGGAGGATCGGGCCGGACGAAAGGGG